AAAGAAGAGAATCTCAGCTTTCTGAGAATCTCAGTGCTGTATCACATAACATTCGCGGACTTTCAGAGGCTCCGGAATCAGTGCGGTTACGTCATCAAAATTTGACAACGCTGAATTGACAAAGAAACGCTCGTCACTGTGTCTCCGTACAAACCAGACATGATACATTGATACATTGTCCCTCCTCCATGCCCAGATTGGTTCAAACTCGCTATATCACAACCAATAAGCATAGGTTTCGCTTTTGTTTGTGGACCAACAACGAGCTTTTTGAACAACACGGAATGAGAGATAGGCATACATTTATGCGCGGCTAAATAAAACGCAAAAAAAAAGTTTTGCATGAAATAATTCTCATACTAAGTACTTTTGCATGCACAGCAGCACAGAAACATGACAAAACAGTGACACAGCAAAGACGAACTGCTGCTCTTGCGGTTTTCAAAAGACGCAAATGAAGGTGCAGCTGTTTGTCTGCATTGCAGACAACCATATCCAAATCCATATCCACAGACAACCATATCCATGCTGGCACATAAAACCTAAGGATGTTCCATATTGAATCTAGTTTCGTTATGTAACTATTTATAGTATAGTAAATATTTATATCTATTTTTTTTACTGAGGATTTGCACCATGTTTATTTGGACTTTATTTGGACTTTGACACATTATTTATTATTTTCTTATTTTTTTATTTGTTCATTGTAAGTGGTGTTGTTTATAGTAACTGAAAATATATTATTTGGAAAAAGTCAAATTTTCTTCACTGTTCTATTATTTTGTAACATTTGTAACATACCGTATACCGCGAAACCGTCAAACCGTGGTATTGTTTTAGACGATTATCATACCGTAAAAAATTCATACCGTTACAACACTATCCATGTATAGTTTCTAGAGGAGTTGCTGAACTCACAGAGCTGGGTGCGCCTCAGAAAGGATCTAGTGCTTCACTTTCTGTTTCTAAAAGAGTGTAAGAATCTGCACTTCAGTAACATTGTGCAAGTTATATCATGAACTCAAGTTTATCATAGACACATGGTGAGTGCATGCCATTGTTGCTAAATTGAAACAGAATTGTCCTCTTGTGCAGTGTGATGACCCATAAAAATGTGTTTCTTTTGACACCCCTAGCTTAAATGCATTATTAGTTACATGAATCCGATATTGTTAAATGTACATAATTTTGTCCTCAGCACATAAAGGACTTCATGCAAATGCTTACTGCATTCTTTGAATTTTGTGTCTCTGGCCATTCTGTCTGTCTGTGTTAACAATGCCATATATAGCTGTGGCATGTACACTGATCTACCTTGAAAACAATACACATATTCATGCAAAACATTTTGTTTATAAAATTCTACTAAAGAAAAAATGTGGCATGTGAACGTAGCCATAGTTTTAAACGTAGATATAGTAATGTAAATATAGTTGTGGATATACAGTGTGGTCATTTTTACATGTATTAGCAGACTGGTATTTTGGCTCATGTACTGCAGTGTGTCTAATTGTGTATGGACATGTTGAGGTGACCCTGTTGCTTATACTTTGTTGTCTTGGCATAAGCCCTCACACCACATCAATTATGAATGGAGCTCCATGTGGCTCACGGTAGATTGCAGCACCCCCTTCCCTCACTGTCATTTCACCATCTTCACTGACATCGGCATGGCAACGTGATATGCATCATCAATTCCAACCATTGACATTCAAAGATGTAGAGACCTTCCATCAGCTTCAAATTCACTGCTGGTGATCTGGGCTGGCCTTGTACATTTGGAGGCCCTAAGCTGAACTATTTTGGGGTCCTACCTTGCTCTATAGTGCATTATCACCATTGCAAACTAGCCCACAATAATTTGATTCCTTATTTCTTTAATACAATCGATGAAACAGAAAATAAAGCCTTAATATTACTACTTAATATCTCCCTGAATGACTAGGGCATTTTAATTCCTACTTGGCATCCTTCTATAGTGTTTAAAACCTATTTTATTGTTTTGGCAAACAAATTCAAGATTCTATAAAAGATTCCAGGTTGAGTTTTTGTTTTAATAAATTCCAAAAGTAAAAACCCTGCAATGAAACAACACTGAACAGTAATTAGCCAAAAGGGAAAATGAACTACTTAATAAAAGAATATACATTCTGAACTCATTAAAAACTCAAAAAAACAACAAAACTATTAACATTAATGCAAAGATGGATTCATACATAAGAAAAACAATAAGCAAATAATATAAAGTAAATTTGAAAAAACTTTTATTGAAAAAACATAGAAAAAAGGGAAGCAGCAAATACTGTGTTAATGTTAATACCCAAACACAAACTTTATTATTTGTTCAGTCTCCTTCCCTGTTCCTTACGTTTGAGATGCGGGGTCCAGAGCTTATATTAAACTATTATTAATTAAATTAAAACATAACTTTAATAAACATGTTTCTGGAAAAAAAATATTACCAGTCTGCAAAATATGCCAGTGAAAGATGCTACAGTATTACAGTTCAGTAAAATGCATTTTAGACTAAAAACAGCTCTGTAAGGCGCAGTGGGTAGCACGTTCGCCTCACAGCAAGAAGGTTGCTGGTTCGAGCCTCGGCTCAGTTGGCGTTCCAGTGTGGAGTTTGCATGTCCTCCCTGCGTTCACGTGGGTTTCCTCCAGGTGCTCCGGTTTCCCCCATAGTCCAAAGACATGCGGTACAGCTGAATTGGGTAGCCTAAATTGTCCATAGTGTATGAGTGTGTGTGGATGTTTCCCGTAAAATGTGCTACTAGATTATGTCTTTAACATCATTATTAGCACTTAAAAGTAGAGGTGTGAATCTTCACTGGTCTCATGGTTCATTTACGATTATCATGCCTATCGATTCGGTTCAGTTTGTTATCATGGTGCATTGACAATGCTTTTCATACATAGGTTTATTGTTTTTTTTACAGCACAGCAATTCTTGTATTAAAATGTATAGATACATTTAAATTTACAGTATATAATATTTTGTAATGCAATTTTGTCCTAAAATACAGTCAGATATATACATTTTGTATATAAAATTTTTCGTTTGCGTTTATTGTCAGCGTTTTTCAAGACGTTTTTCTGTAATAAAACCTAAGCGATTTTCACTGGCATCGAGCAGAAGAGTATGCAAAATCACTCCTTGACGTTACATGGCGCCACACAACTTTTAGGTTCTGACACCTGCTTGTAACACAGAAGAAGAAACGCTTGTTGTTATGGATGGTTCAAGCAGCAGCTCCGGCTCCGGTGATGAGGAAATGATTATTGTTCACCAGAGCAATAAGCAGCTCCACGCTTGTATCACCTCTGGGCAACTTCTTCAATGTGCGCTCGCATTGACAGTTTTGCGCTTAAGCACCTCCAAGTGCTATTTACTGTAACTTAAGCAGCTTCTTACATGTAAGCAAGCATGAGGTAAATTTTTTTTTTTTTTTTTGAATGACGCTTTTATGTCGCCGTTTTGTGCATTGGTGTGCACGATCACATTGGCGCCCTTTATTTAGTCGTGAGGCATTAAACTTTCGTACTTTTTTTGTTGTATTTTTTTATGTGTTTGTTTTCATGATTCACAGGGTTTGTTGCATGTTTTCCCCTCAATGGTGTCAGGGTCAATACAGCAATGCTGTTTGTGTGCAGCAAGCATTTTTGTTGGGAGAGCAGTACAAGAATTGGAGAATGGCAGATGTTGTCTTTTATCAGGAGTTCATTCACATTTAGACAATATCGCCGTGCTGCTGTGTTTGCCTAAATCCTCTAGATTACCAACAGGGCTAATGGTTAAAATAGATGGGGCAAGAGACCTGCTGCACTGAGTCTGCATTCAGACCAGGGGATTGAGGGAAAAGTCCTCATTTATAGTGTTCATATGAACACGATTATCTTTATAATTATATAAATTGTGGTTATCTGTATATGAAATTATGAATTGCAAATGTAGCAGGGCATTAAATCACTGTTTATTTCTTAGCATTTTAACTTTGTAAACTATAAAATCATGCGTCTCCTTAAGGTTTGTGTCTCATTTTGTGAGCTAACTGATAACAGTTGTTCGCTCCCCTCCTTCTCCCCTGCTGGCCCTGCCCATGCCTGCCCTTTTTTCGCGGAGCTCCACGCCCATTATTATGGATCTTTTAAAAAAATTCTGAGGTAGACCTGAACCAAAGATGGGGGTTGTCATTACCCTTTAAAATAATTTTGTGGTTGTCTCTTCTCGTTGTCATTTTCCCCCTCAGTTTTTGTACGTCTGAAGATTAATGTTCGTTTGGTTTTGTATTGTGATCCAATTTCCAAAATAAATCCGTTATATAAAGGCAGGCAATGAAGCTTCTTGTTGATCACATGACTTTCACACAAAAGCAATTTCAACTTTAATAAAGTTAGGATTTTTTTCTTTTCAGTGAAATTTTATCAATATTCAAGTACTAAATAAATATGATTTTAGCAAGGAAGCGGCTCACACCACTAGTGGGTTGAGGGGACTCCCTAGCCAGCCACTTAGTTTCCTTATAGGGAGGGGAAGCAATGCTGGGGATGGATATACTAGCGTGACAAACTTGTTGGTTGATGTTTTCAAATAGGTATAGTATAACAATCATATACATAATATATTTTGCACTTTAAAATCTGTCTTGGGCAGAAGTAGGAGAGTTTGATTAAAGGCTGATTGTGCACTTGATGCTTTCATTTTCTCTGCAAGGCCATATAGCCTCAAATAAACCTAGTCAGAAGCACTGGATTCAGTTCAGTAATGTTTGTGAAACGAGAATAAAGGCTATCATGAGCAAACATTTGAGTGTTTCTTGCTCACATGTACATTTGTCTGTTTCTCTCTGTAGTTGCTCAACATTAGCTTCTTACTCCTGCTTTTAAACCTGATAGAAAATATAGCTTAAAGCACTTTATTGTTGGTAGATATTAGGCAGAGTATCTGGTTTTACCATCTGCTCACTTAGTTTTTTTTATTTCTTGCTCTCTTCAATAAGGGGCTGGTTCTGAGGGGTGAGGCCGCAGGACCAGACTCAATGAGTTTCCAGCGAAATGTCCGAGAAGTCAGGGCAGAGCACCAAGGCAAAGGATGGCAAGACCAAGTATGCAACCCTTAGCCTCTTCAACACGTACAAGGGAAAGTCTTTGGAGACGCAGAAAACTGCAGGTGAGTCCAGCTAATCATTCTCACACACAAGCTGATTTAAATCATCTCAAAATTGAAAGCTCTGAACCACATTATTACAAGAAAGTGAAGAGAATGCAAAGAAAGTAGATGTATTATTTAACGTCATGAAATACAGACTTTTTATTTGGGGTTGAAAAGTAATCTTGTCACTTTTGTAGCTAGAGTAAAGGCTGGCGTACAGGGTGCCATTTTTGCCTGTCATTGGAGCTTGTACGAAAATTTTTCTTCTCCACTGAGACAATTTATGTGGAAATCGCTGATGGTCGTATTGTGTGAAAGCAATTTGCGAGCTGATAAAAATGGCTCATGAGCTTCTGATCATTAAAAAAACAGCAGCCATTGGGTTGAATTTGTGAAGCGTGTCCAGTAGGCTTGGCTGAAGCAGACTAATTTGGCATCGTACGATGACTAATGTGAAACATCACGATGGACAATGGCATCGTCATCATAGACTGCATTGAATTAATTATTTATGAATAATTCATAACGAATTAATCATTTGTAGCCTACTGTTTCAACTACCTCACCTACACGGTCTATGTTTTACCCATAGCCATATCATAAGTTAATAAAGAAAAGATGCTCACGAATTACCACCCGTTAATCACTTTTTCGGCAGGACTCTGGCATGAATAGGCAGAGTGATCTGTGTTATAATGTTATAAAAGTACAAGCATGAAAGCGAAAGATTGAAGCAGTATACTGACGCTGTGACACGTTACCTGATAGATTCAAAAGACCGAAGAGTCATTAGATAGAGACAAAATGAATTAAAAAATCACAAGTAATAATTACAGTGAGATGAGATTCAGTGGTACATACTTAAACTGCAACGTGATCTGCACTTTGGGGGTTTGTGCTCAAAGCACCTGCTGACTGCCTGAAGATCAGATGAGCGCAAGATTCTGTCTGTCTGTGTATGTGTGGTCACGTGATGTGTGCTTTCAGTGGTCCAGTGTGGACGAATGGCAAAAATGCTAGGTGACACCATTGTGGACGTGCATCATTTTTGTTTTAAAACGCCACATTAAAACTTAGACGTATTAGGCTACGTTCACACTGCAAGGCTTAGTGCTCAAATCTGTTGTTTTCTCAGATCTGATTTTTTGCATGGCTGTTCACACTGCTCCTTTAAATGTGGCCAATATCAGATTTGCAGTGTGAACAGATCATGGTCCTGAACTGACCCGCATGCGCAAAAGTGCATTACGGAGAGCACAAAATGTCTAATTATCCACACACGTGAGTGCTGCATGAGTAAGCATGTTGTCAGATCATGCTTATATGATTATTACCCTTTTCACAGACAACCGGGGTCTATTTCATGAACTGTAAATGATTGTTTTGCTACTACTAATGTTTATTTCAGCATTTGAGATCTAAAATAAGTCTCCTGTGATTAAAAAAAAAACACTAACCTTTTGTGATTTATGACAACAGCGGTGCGTGGCGCTCTGACCACCGGCAGTGTAGTGAACTCATCAAGGGTTAATAAGCAGCCGCAGACTGAGCTGTGAAGGCGGAGTTGGTTTATCTCCGTTTGTGGAGTTATTTAATTTCACTTGGTTATAAACAGCAGACACGTGCAGAAGGGAGGTTTGGGTGCTCGAGCAACTGCCCTTTTTTTCTCTCGGAGAGAAAGTTCTTCCTCATTTGCACACAGATTCCCCCATCCGCAACACCCACGACGCTTTTCGGCTTCGCGATCTACCCGTGCTTCAATCGTTAACCAGATTAGTTCATAAGCACCAGTTATGCCTTCAGATTCTTTTTCAACATGAACAACCAACTTTCTGTGGTACTGTAATTGCCTTCTGTGCCATTCTACTGTGCTGCTAAGGGGTAGAGGATGTTTGCAGCACAGAATGATGACGCATGTCACTCAAAGATTGCGTAAAAGTCACATGAAATCCGACATAACCGTTCACACTGCGGTCGCATTGCAAAACATCAGATCTGTGTCTGATTTAAGACCACACATGAAAGTGGCATAGATCTGACCTTAAAAGATCAGATTCCATACGGTTTGGGCTGTTCACGTGAGGGGGAATAAATCAGATTCGTGCCACGATTGCCTGCAGTGTAAACAGAGCCTAAGTGTGTATTTTTGATGAGCGAGTTTGCGGGTGGGGCGGATGATCGTGATGCCGGCTCAGCATCGTTATTGTCTATTAGCCCAACCCTAGTGTCCAGTTTAACACTGCATCAGAAATCGCTTTTTAATAAAGTTGTTCTATATCTATGATTTTCACATAAACTTACTCGTGACGATGGATCTTCTGACCTTCAGAAATACTTAGCAGATTGTACTCTTGATCAAGCATACTGGGTTAGCTTCCCAATTAGCCTCCTGTGCATTGCTGGATCAAATAAGCAGTCTTTGTCCACTCAGTCACTGCTGTTCATTCATTCAAGCTTTAGAAAAGAGAGTGCTCAAGAATGTGTGTTGCTGCTTTTCACATTGTTGTTAAAACTTTATTGATTTTAAATCAGAACTTTCACTTTCATTTCCTAGCCTAAGGGAAAGATTAATGTGTTAGCAGTGTTGGTAATTCATTTTTTCGCCTTCTTTTAGTTGCCGCCAGACATGGGCTCCAAAGTTTGGGTAAAGTTGCGGTCAGTCGACGCATGCCCCCTCCAGCTAACCTGCCCAGCCTAAAAGCTGAGAACAAAGGCAATGATCCCAATGTTAGCATAGTACCCAAGGATGGCAGTGGATGGGCTTCCAGACAAGATCAACCAGGAGACGAACGGTAATCTTTCAACCTTAAAACCCTGAATTATAGGTAAACTCTTTCCTGCAGAGTTCACACTGTGCTAGATGTACTCTTTGTTTTTGTTTTGTTTGTTTTTTTAAAGTTGTTTTCACATTGCACGTCTCTCTGGGGTAGCACTCATTTGCTGCTAGGTTCATACTTCACAAGAGATTAACTGCACCAGAAACATGCAGAGACAACTCTGTCTGGCCAAAGACTATAGATATGCATTTACAATTTTTCAACGCATTACTTTGTATGAGGAAAAGTGCAATGCTCAGTACGACTGCCACAGCAAAAGTCCCGCCTACTGCTCGAAATAGCCAATCGTCAGTCTTTATCTGTACTGATCTGCTTGTTTTCGTTGTCCTGTATCTTGCTCTGTCATTGATTGTAGGTCATCGCTGATGTGTTTTTTAGTCAGAACTTATTTCACACAGCATGATTTTTAATTATTGTCCGGTCAATATATTTAGCTTGCCAAATATTTTACGGGCGTCAGTGATTCTCTCATATCATGTGTTTGATCATTTATACTTCATGATTGTAACTTTCATAAGCGAGCATCTGTTGGCCTCAGATTTTTGGCCATTTGTTTGTGATTTCACAAAACCTGTCGGCAAAGTGAAGAATCAGGACTAAAATGGTGCAGTATGAACTTGGCATTACGCTGAATATAGTCTGCCACATTGGTTTCTACGTTTTGCCCTCTTTAGATGCTTCTGCTCACTGATCATTTTCTGATTTTAGGCAGCAAGAAACCCCTCCCCCACAGCCTAAGCCAACTGTGCCCCAGACCTCTGATGCCCCTCTGGGAGGAAGCCGCTCGTGGGCCAACAGCAAACAGTCTGGGCAGCAGGATGGTAAACTACTTAGTTGCTATTAGATTGCTCTGAAATTGCTGCTTTATGAATGCATATTAAAATGAATTAGGACAGCAGAATAATCATGAGTTTTGAGCTTCTAAAGCAAAATGCTTAAACGCTACTCTGTGTGCAGGAGCTCCTCGAATGAGCAGTCAGTTTCATCAGGAGTTTCCGAGTCTGCAGGCAGCAGGTGAAGTGGAGAAACCAGCCGATCAGGAAGATGAACCCTATGGACCAGGGCCCAGCCTCAGGCCTCAGAGTAAGACCATCATCCTTTTGATTGTTTACAAGCCTGGTGTAAAAATATTAAAGGGCTCTTATGCTGTTGATTTAATGTTTTCCTGTGTCTTTGGAGTGTTACTAGCCGTTCTGCAAATATAAGATACATAAAGTCTCAACCTACAATTTGCAAACTCAAAGAGACTTCCAAAATACCTCATTTGAACATGCCTCAAAAATCTGTAAGTGGGAACATTGCCATAATACTGCCATGAAGCATAACTTTTGTTCTCGCTGTAATATTGTTGCTGCTGACACCATGTTGACTACTATGTAAAATAAAACCTTCTGTTACATTCTGTCTTTATGCACATTTTGTCAGTAAAGCCGCTTCTGTGATCAGTAATAAATCTTTATCATATTCACACTTTTACATGGAGCGGCTTTTACTATACTACGACATAGTTCACTGACGCTACTGAATAATATTTTCATTATCACATGCTCACAATAATGCAAATGGTTGTTTTGGTGTAGCCTTGCTTAGTCGAACACTGTTTGTCATACCCTGATGCCAGTGTTGTTAGATATAGCTGACTTTTTCCAGTCCAAAAGCTGTCCAAAACCCGCCCAAACACACAAAAATGCCCAAAATGTTAGAATAATATTAAATTTAATTTATTTTTAATCATTTTTTTATTTGATATTATATAATATATTAATATTTCAAGTTACTTTTAGTAAATTGAAATTTACCTAGTTACTTTAACTGTCATAACTTTTAACCATACAGCAGCAAACACCAGCAGTCACAGAACTACAACATAACCGGATCACATCGAAACACTGCCCCCTCTCACCCACAAACTGCACTTAATGTTGTGTAAATGTGTAGTATGTCTTACTTTCCGGATGGGGTATAAACTTGTTTCATTTTGAGTTTTAAATTCGTTTGAACATAATTAGGTGCTGCTTGTCAATCAGACAATGCTTCTACGTTTGTTCTTGCTGTCAATTGTAAAAAAAATTATCGATATAAGTGTCATGATAAACCACTGAGTTTAACTGCAGGGGTTGCGTTTTGCATGTGCACGCGGAGGTGAGTCAGCGTGGTTCGGGAGTAAGACTTTCCTTCATCTCCTCTTGCGATTGTGCCCACCCAGTTTGTTCTATGCACTGGTCACTATTACCTGAATGGAGTAGGTGCACACAGTTATGGTTTGTTAAAAAAAGTTGCATAAAAAATGTACGTTTCAAAACCGCCCAAATTTTGTCAACCCGGCTATGCCATTTTTTACACGCAAAATCGATTTCAAAACCACCAATCACTGTTTGATGCACACCTCTCAAAAAATGAAAATGCACGTCACAGCATTGTTGTTTTGCAATAATTACAGCTGTTTGCATCACTTCTCATGGAATTTAATAAAATAAATACTATATAAAAATAAATACTACTTTGAGACTATTCTGTAGTCGTTTGCTAATTAGTCACTGAATTGGATGTGGAAATTTGAACACTAGATATAAAAAATAAATATTTTTAGAAATGCCAAGTGACCCTTTTAATGCTAAATATAAGCTTCATCATCTAAGTACTATATATATATATAATAAGTTATAAGTTATAAATATATAAAAGTTACTCTCTCTTTTGTGTCCATTACCAACCAGATGTGGGTAGCTGGCGGGAAGGTGGAGGCAGGAACCTAAACGTTACTCCCAGCCCCTCGGAGACTGACAGTAAGCCCTCTGAGGAGTCGGGCATTGGTCGAGGCACACCATCTCCATCAGGCGACTCTGATGAGGCAGGGAAAACCTCTTCTGGTGAGGGCAGAGAAAAGAGGGATGCCAGGGACAGGCTCCCAACTGCTGCCCCTCAGCATAAACTTAATGGTGGTCAGCAACCACCAGGAGGGATGTCATCTCAATTCCATGCTGCCCAATTCAGGAGCATGATGCCGCCATATGTGAGTGACAAGAGTTTAGTTATTGTTTATAGTATTTCTACTTTTTCAAATGTAATTATTATTTTCATTTGGTGCTTGTTATAAAATGTGTTTTTTTTTTCGGTGACACTTCACTTGAATGTGTGCTGTTTTTGGTTTTTTTTTTCTCACTAGATGTTTAATGCTTACCCTCGAGGGCCCTTTCCACCTGCGCAAGGCAGCTTTAGGTACCCTGCACAACAGGAGATGTCCAAGTAAGTGATTCCATAAGGTCTGAAACTAAACTTAATTGGAAGAACAGTTGCAGAATTACTTTGTACTTCCTTTTATTTGGATAAATTAATATTTTTATTTTGTATTCATATTAGACAGTTGACGTTTGTTCTTTATCACTTATCTAATTCGTCTATGGCAAGTTTTAGTGAACATTCAAGTTTAGTATTTCCTCATGATCAAGGCAGGTTATCCATGATCCGTTCAGGAGTTTGGCAACTTAGTTTCACTTTCTGATTTTCTCTGTTTTGCTTAGGGGTCCACGCACTGGAAGACCTTCTTTGCCTCCCTCTCAGTCATGGCTGCAGGATCCAGACAGGCCATCAATTGTTAGTGCCACTGAATTAAAAGAGCTAGACAATCTGGACACAGAAGCTGATGAGGGTTGGGCAGGTGAGAATGACAGCTGCGCGTGTGCTTAATGTGGTGCGAATACAGTACAGCAGTAGAAACCATAATTTATGTACATGTATTTTGTGATTTAGAAGATGAAGATTAGGCTCAGTCTCAATTAAACATGAAAAACTGTGACTTTTAGCATTATAACTTACCATGAGAGTAATACTTTAAGGATTCAATTTGTGAAGTCAGATTATTTACAATGTCCTTGAATGTGGCATATCCAATTTGTATTTGTAGTAGTTACTTTAATTATTAGTGTATATATTTTAGTGTATCAATATTTAAATTTTATTTTATTAATATATGATATTAAGTACACACTTGTGCACTGGTTTCAATACCTGCCTGTTATGAGGAGTCCAATTTGAAAGGTCTTGAATGCAAACAGGCTATTTATTTATTTTTTTGATCTAAATAATAATAATTAAAAAATTATAAAGGGAAAAATTAGTTCAGGTAATGCAACATTTTCAACGGGAATGCGCATTAAATGTTTAAACCAGAAATACACTATTTTTAGGTGCCCAAATGGAAGTTGACTATACCGAGAAGCTGAATTTTAGTGATGATGAAGAGAACCATTCAGCTAAAGAGAAAGCCGATAACTGGTAAGCATGCATGTTCGTTATGTTTGTAATTTTATGCAATTTTTTTTTTTTTAATCTTATTTAGTCAGTGCTTCCTACAGGTTTGAAATATGCTTGTGGTGGTAGCTAGATTGAAACACACCTTTTATCCATGGCACATGGTTAACTACATGCGTAAAAAACAAGTGCTTTTTAGCAACATTTTTATTTATTATGACACTGTTATACACTGTTTCTTTTCACTGGGTTGGAAGATTTTTATTTTTAATACTGGACATAAAAAAAACAAATCTACTGTTGCTATTATTCTTTAACTTTTATTCTATTCAGGAGCCATTTGCACCCATGTAAAATCTGCTGCTGACAATTTGTACAGTATTGCCAAAGCATGTTAGATATGTAAAAATATGTAATATATCAACTACATCAAAAAATAATAATAATACAGCAAGTGAGAAATAAACGACAGCGAAATAAAAACAGACAATATCTCTAAAAAGTATTATAATAACAAGAATAAAGTTTTAGTTAAACTGATTATTTAATGTTTTCTCACTCTTGCGGCTGCACACGTTGTCAGTGATAAAAACACATAATTAGTGATGATTTTAGAAACCTTCTAAAAGCGGTCCCAAAAGGTGCGTCTCCGCGGGTCTCTGTGGAGCACTTGAGATTGTCTGTCAGATTGTTGTCAGTTCTTGTGCACACACAGTGAGTAAAACAGTAAAACTCTTTCTTGCTAAACCAAAGGGAGTGGATGGCTAAAGTTGATCGCATGCGGTCAAGGAATGCTGAGGTCCAGGAGGGATGGAAGGAAGGTACAGAGGAGAGGAGTGATGGCAAGAGCTCATGGGGTGAAAGTGGAGACCCCAGGGCTCCCTCTCCTGGCAATATTGTCCATTATAGCAAGAATATAATGCCACAAGACCAGCAGGTATGCATGAAGTTGCCAAAATTACTATTGCTGTATTTGATTTGCTGAGCTATGTAGTTGACAAAATAATAAATTGCACAGGGGCAAGCTGTTGGGCGTTCTATGGGAAGTGGTGGCCCCCGTGTTACAAAGCTGCAAACGACGGCACCTCCTGTTGGTGAGGAGGAAACGGAAGCATGGCGACAGAAACGAAAGAAGCAGTCAGAGCTCTCTGAAGCAGTGGAACGTGCTCGTAGACGCCGTGAGGAGGAGGAGCGGCGGATGGAGGAGCAAAGGCTTGCTGCATGCAAAGAGAAGCTTAAACAACTAGAGGAGAAAAGACGACCTTCGACCACAGAGGCTACTAAACCAGCTACGCAAGCTCACAGCGACCACCAGGAAGTGACTGAAATTGTGCCTAAACTACCTGCTGAAACTCCGCCCCCTCAACCTCAGCCACCACCTCTGCCTGCACAGCTACCCTGCCCTCCCATGCCAACTCATGAAAGGACAGAGCCCACTGTGGAAGAGGTGCCACAATTCATTACCCGGCAACCTAGCCCTCCTGTTCTTAGGACTATCCCAGAACCCCAAATCAAGGCTGATACTGCTGTAGCTGAGGAGGTGCATGGACAGGTGGAGAGACCGCCAATGAGAGACTACTTCTGTGCTGAGGAGCCCAGAGGTAAATGTTTATATTGCACTTAAACTAAAGTGATTTGGGGTGTGCTTTTGTCACTTATGACACTTTTTATGACTTGTGGAGGTATAATGTTAAAAACGGTGCAAGCATGATAAACAAGTCAGTGGTTGTCAAATATTTTGTTTGTGCTTTATTTTAACTTGTTACCTTGTTTGTTTATTTATTTTTCTGTATCTTTTTCTTTTAATCTTCTTTGCCCAAAGACCAATGAATTAAGGAATTTATCTGGTTTGATGCATGTAATAAATGATTCATTAAATAGATTTTGTTAGTTTTTTAGATTTAGATTGGTCAAAAAAATGTTTTCCTCTTTCAGTTGAGGAGCCTCAGTTGTCATTGTCCAGACTAGATCATTCTGTTAGCGAAGATGTTCCACTTCCATCTCAACTGGAGAATGAAGGAGATGCTGGGACTTCCATTCGTCCTTCTGTAACCTCTGGATACTCAAAACAGTTCCAGAAATCTCTGCCACCTAGGTTCCTTAGACAACAGGTACTTCACATTGTGTTGACTTTGTTTCTAAAAGATCAAAATGCATTCACTCATTATATATTTTTAAATCTGTTTATTCATATTGCCTCACTGGTATTGTTAGAGATTCTTTGTAGATCCTGCGTTTAGCTATTAGAGCTTTCATCTTTCTTCTCCTAAATTCCTCAGGAACAACTTAAACAACAACAGTGGCAGCAGCAACATCAGCAGCAGCAACAACAGCAGCAGCAGCAAGGTGGAGGAGGTCCGGTCTCTCCTTCAGGGGGTTCAGTTCCTCCTCAGCATAGATCTCTGTACCAACCTCTTGGCCCCCACCACCAACATCTTGCCTCAATGGGCTTTGACCCAAGGTGGTTAATGATGCAATCTTACATGGACCCTCGTATGATGTCTGGAAGACCACCTATAGACATTCCTCCTATGCACCCGGGTATAACTTTTAACTTATGTTTATTCCAGTATGTTGCATATAAACTTTTAATACCTTAAACTTATTTGTAAATGCAAGTATTCTAAATCTTTGTGGACCCTAATAATTTTTTTATCATTATCAGGGAGAATGCCTCCTAAGCAACTGGTACGACGAGAGCCCACGGACAACAGCAGCTCTGGATCAGACACTTTTGATCATCTGACACGACCAATCAGAGAACATGGAGTTCCCAGCGAGTCTCGAATGGTCTGGGGTTCTGACCCATATCCCTCAACGGAGCCACTGCCCTCCACTGCAACTGCTAAAGGGCGAGAAGATGGCAAAGACCCAAGGTAACCATAAACAAGTTATAGGTATTTCTCCCTCGTTGAATGTTAATTGATCAAGAGCTCATTTTCCCCCTTCTTCTAATTATAGATTGGATGCTGGTCTGGACCTGGATAGAGGTCTATCTGGTGTCTATCATCAGGACCATAGCCCACTGGAGCCTCGGAACAAAAGTGACTTTTTCAGGGATTCATCTGAAACATTGTCTGCTTTTAGTCATGTTTCAGATGAGGTTCCAAGTCTCCTACAGACTGACCGAGCACCAGTCATCCCTTCCTTTGAAACTGAGGAGGCTAACCTCACCGCTACTGATGAGGTTGAGGCCATTGGACAGGCTGTATTGAAACGGAGTATCTCTCAAGGCTCCAGTCACTCTCTAAAACTGGAAGAACCTAGATTTGAGGGACTTACTATAGCACAGAAGACCGTGGACTTCACTGAAACTGTGGAAAGACCAGAAGAAAAGTCCAGAAAGGAGGCCTTTGGTCAAGGCCCTGCCATCAGCAGCCGTTCCACTCCTCCTGTGACTAACGATAATGTGCATAAAGGTGACAAGCTTATCTTACCGCCACCCAACAAACAGAAGTCAGAGATGCGCTGGGGATCCCGTGGTTCTGGATCTGGAAGAAGAGAGGGTGCTGGAGGAGAGCGACCGGTCAGGAGATCTGGACCTATTAAAAAACCTGTACTGCGAGACATGAAGGAAGAGAGGGAGCAGAGAAGAGAGAAAGAAGAGCAACATGAACGAGGAGATCGAACCAAAAAAGAAGGATTTGCACCCAAAGGTGCTTCGTCAGCTGCTATAGTGGCATGTGATGGAACAAAGCCTTCCAGTGATGGGAAGAAAATGGTGGTGGAACCTGAAACTGGTGGAGCAAAATCTAGAGATCTGCATACAACAGCAGGTCCAGCAACTGCAACTGTTCCTGAGGAAAAGCCAGATAGGCCTCCATCTAATGACAAATGCCCTGAGCCCAAACTACCCTCTCGCAAAGAATCCAGCTTCCCTCCCCGATCGTACAGAAGAGACGAGAGGGAGCGAGAGAGAGATCGGGACAGAGACAGAGATCGGGACAGAGAGAGAGACAGAGATCGGGACAGAGAGAGAGACAGAGATCGGGACCGAGAGAGAGACCGAGATCGGGACAGAGAAAGAGACAGGGATGCGGACAGAGAGAAAGAGTGGCCTTCTGATTTTAAAGGCCGTGGTCGGGGGGAGTACTATTCCCGTGGCCGCAGCTACAGAGGCAGCTATGGTGGGAGAGGTCGAGGTAGTCGTGGGCGGAGTCGAGGGGACTACCCTTACAGAGAGCCACGATCACGCTCAGACTTGCCATTAAGTGCCACTGGGGCAGTTGGTTTCCACTGCAGAGAAGAGAGTGAAACACGTAGCGAGAGCTCAGACTTTGAAGTCCTGCCCAAGCGCAGACGCAGACGGGGCTCGGACACAGACTCTGAAAGTGAAGGCAGAGAATCTGCTAGTGACACTGGAGCATCAGACCGTGAGCCTAGCACCAAACCAAACAGACCGCTCCGCCGTGAGCTGCCAGAATCTCGGTCCTCTAAGCCTGCTTCAGGGTATGCGCCTGGACATGTTTCAGAAAAACCAGGGTCTCGTGATGAGGATGGGCGGCCTAAACCTGGTTTTCTGTTAAAGGGTGAGGTCGCACGTCGGGGCAAAGGACCCTTGCACAGCAGACGTGGAGGTGGCAGAGAAAGAGGTGGACACAGATCTGCACCTTTCCGGCGCGCTCCTGTCAAAGAGGGCTCTCAGTGGCCCTCGAAGCCCATGGAGACCTTTCGGCCAGAGGAAGCAGAGACCTCACGGACTGATAGCACGCCATCTGAACGTCGACACACCAAATATGACAACAAAAAAATTGGAGACGGTGGACAAAGCATTCGAGAGAGACCTAGAAGACCAAGAGCAGCCCGTCCTCCCAGGCAGGACAAGCCCCCACGGTTTAGGAGACTTAAAGAGCGTGAGGCAGCAGTGTATGCTGGTGAATCAACACCAGGCATGCCAGTAGCTACATCCATTTCCCCAACACTGTCTAAAGCTCCAGGGTCTCAGGTCACTTTGTCTGAGGGAGTGATTGATACTAATACAGCATCTTCTCACACTCCTGATGTGAGTCCCCCTGAGCTTCCCGTCACAGAGTCTGTTGTTCCTGAAGTAGGAACCACTACTGTAGTTGCTGCTGGCAGCAAATCGCCTGACTTGTCCAATCAGAACTCCTCTGATCAAGCCAATGAGGAGTGGGAAACTGCTTCTGAAAGTAGCGACTTTAATGAACGGAGAGAGCGAGAAGACAAGAAGCTACTTGAAGCAGCTGTGACTGCAACCACATCCTCCTCCTCTGCACCTGCACAGATCACTGGTGGACAGAGCAAATCACTCATAGAAAGTGTGGCAATCCCGAAAAGAGAGTTGGCTTCAGCAGCCAAAAGGAGCTTCTCCAGCCAGCGCCCTGTAGATCGACAGAACCGCCGGGGCAACAGTGGGCCTAAAACAGGTCGGGGGTACCCTGGAGGCAAGAGTGAGAGAAGGGGAGGATCTGGTGCCAAATCTGGACGGAGAGGGTGAGTTCTTGTTGTTCTGGAAAGCATAGAGTCTTTAGTTTGAATTGAACTGTTATGATTTAAGAGGTTTAAGATAATTGTAATTTTGATTAAACTTTTCGTAAGGTTTTCAAAGTTCCAGTTACTGACTATTGTCTTTTCTAATTGCCTTGCCAAAATGCTTTTATAATTACTTTATTAATTGACTTGCTGTTATTCTGTAGTTAATGAAGCATGTTATGGAGCATTATTAACAACAGTAGCTATTGAAGAATTTGCTTCACTTGGTCTTATGACTTCTTGCTTTATTAAAACAGTAATTAATTCAATCTTTTTCTAATAAGCCAATATTTTTTCTCTGCTATTCGCAGTGCTGCTGCTCAGAATGCAGAGGGTGCTCAGGCTGGTACAGGTCAGAAGCCTGGAAAAGAGCCAGCAACCAGCCGACGGAAGGAGGAAGCAAAACAAGCTGTTAAAAAACCCAAAGAGAAAGAAAATGCCTTGTCTCAGTTTGATCTCAACAATTATGCCAGTGAGTGTTCATGTAACCCAGTGTAATGTGATTAATTACAGTCCAGTATTGTTTTAATGATATCTTTATACTATAAGTATTAATGTTTATAAATTAAACAAAACTCCTTTATCCGATTTATTTTATTCCTCAGGTGTAGTGATCATTGATGATCACCCAGAGGTCACGACACTCGAGGACCCACAGTCTAACACAAATGATGATGGGTTCACAGAAGTTGTTTCACGGAAACAGCAGAAACGGTTGCAGGATGAGGAGCGGAGAAAGAAGGAAGAACAGACTGTACAGGTAAGAACCAGGAGGAAACATGTTTATTCCAATATGTTGCATTGATTGCACCATGGTAGTTCTTACACAAATCTGTCTTTCGTGCATCTGTTCACCTTCTGTGCAGAACTGGAGTAAAAAGGGCTCTGGAGAGAAGGGTAGGGGAGGTGGTGGTTCGAAACTCCCTCCACGGTTTGCCAAAAAGCAGCAGCAGCAGCAACAACAGCAAGGAGCGGCAGCAGTGCAGCAGCCTGCAGCCCCAGCTCCACAGAGCCAGTCTGTCCCACAGCAGCCTCAACCACAGCCAGCTCTTTCTGTGCCACAGCACAATCTGCCCACTTCTAACCAGAGCACTGTCTCACCGCAACCTCTTGAGGGTGCTGTAGCACCTCTGGCCCCTCCACCTGTAGACTTCCCTGCTAAGAGTCAGACGCTCAACACCCTGGGTACTGAACTGTGGGAGAACAAAGTGGCTGGCTCCACCGTTCTCTCTGATGTCAAGAAACGTAAGTCCTTGTCCTAAAGCAGGGGTGTCAAACTCAGTTCCTGAATAGCCACTGCTCTGGACAGTTTAGTTCCAACCCTCCTCCAAGACATTTACCTGTAGGTTTCAAACAAGCCTTAAGGACTTAATTAGTTTTATCAGGTGTGTTTAGTTAGGATTGGAACTAAACTGTGCAGAGCTACGGCCCTCCAGGAGTTTGACACCTGTGTCCCTAAGCCATGTTTTACAAGACTTAGTACTTGACTAATTTGCTTGAATGTTTCATGATTTGTTTTGTTTAGTTTTTTTCCATGTTAAAATTAATTTTTTGATTTAGATCTGTATTGATGGTTGCCCCATTTGTCTTTGTTGTAGTTGGACCTATCAGTCCTCCACAGCCTCCATCTGTCAGTGCCTGGAACAAACCACTCACTTCGTTTACTGGCACTGTAACACCTGAGGTAAGAATAAATAAATCAAGTCTGTTTTCCAGTAGGTTAAATGGATAGTTTACCCAATGTTAATTTAGCTACTTTTTCTGTACCTCTAGTTTCTTTTATCTGTTGAACACAAACAAGAAAGCTGAAACCATTGACTTGCATAATATGAAAAACAAATTCCTACCAGTTTCCAGCTTTCTTCAAAACATCATCTGTTGTGTTCAACAGAATAAAAAAACTCAACTCAAATAGTTTTTTATCAAATTAAACAATGGGAGAAAATTTGGTGGTGATTATTTAATATTTAATAATATATTTTAATATACTGACCAACACACACACAAATTTTACTTGACTGCATTTTTATCTGTCTGTTTTAGGGTGTAAAAGCAGGTGTAGAGAGTGGAGTTGAGCTGGGCATGGACAGCATCCAGTTTGGTGCCCCCTCTTCAGCAGGTAGCACTGACAGTGATGGAGTGCCTGCCCTGCTGGAGAAAACCTCTGACAATAAATTACCCGAACCCAAAGAGCAGAGGCAAAAACAGCCCCGTGCTGGACCTGTCAAGCCTCAGAAGGTAGTGTTTCATGGAGAGGGAAGTGAATCATGAAGAGTAACAGATTTATAAAATAATATTTAAAGGCACAATATGTAATTTTCAACACTAGAGGGCAGGTTTTCACAACAATGGCATATTTTGATGACGCCTTGATTTTCAGCAATAGAGGGCAGACTTTACAACAAACAGTGGCGTATTTTTGATGACACCTTGACTTAGTGTGAAATCATGGGAGTTGTGGTCTACTTTAACTCATCCATCGACATGATTTCTGCAGGATATAATGCATTCAACACTTATCATCATAGTTTAAAGCAGAGTACAGCTGAAACTGGCAGTGAAATGACAAGCTGAAGTCAACTGCTTCCTGTTTTTCTGCTCATGATAAAGTTGCACTGTTATATCATACTAAATATATTTTAGGGTTATGTTATCTTGCTGCTCTAAACGGTCTGGTGTAACACAACATATTAAAGCATCTTTAATCTGTAAATTGTGGAATTGGGACAATACTAGCATGGCCTCACATGGCATGGTCAAAGTCACTAGTTAAAATTGCTCTGAAATTCTTTAAACCATTTAGTATAATGTACTTACACAAGTCAGCAAAAAGATACTGCACTATTATAATGGTAAAAACGTACATATTGTGACTTTAAAACTTTTAAAAACTGAAATATAAGGATAAAAGATATTAATAGATTTAAATTCATGTTTTTTAAGTTCAAAGTGATATGCTTAATTGTAGTCCTAGACATCAGACATGGCTCTATTTAAACAGTGTACATTATTTAAAACTAAATGTCTTTTCCACAGTTACCTGACATTCCTCCTCCAGAGCACAAGGAATATAAACCAGGTCCCATAGGTAAAGAGCGTTCGCTCAAGAACCGTAAGGCTGCCAAAGATGTGCGTCAGTCTGATGGAGAAGGCTTGGATAACAGTGGAACTGGAGCCAGTCGAGACCGAGACTCCAGCTCACCCGCTAAAGACAAAGTTCCTGAGCTCGGTGGAGACATTGAAGGCATGATCACTGCTCCTGCAGCAGAGTACTCCAGCAGCTCTAAGGTGCGACATAATATCCTGCCGCCCTAATGTCACAATGTATACGGTTTAAAGGTTTGGGATCAATGTTTTAAAAGAAATATTAATCATAATACCACAAAAATATGAAGCTGCAGAACTTTTTAATTCCGTTATCAGCATATTAGACAGTCCCACCAGGATTTTGTGGGACTTTTTTTCTGAATGCGGTCTAAAATGACCTTTATTTGTGTCATTTTACTGTAAAAAATATATACCACAGACTAAAGTCTTTATGTAATTTTTTTTTAAATTACTTCTAATAATAATTCTGACTTTTAATCATGAATCAGGTGTTCGCGGGAGGTGCCGGTTCGCTGCTTCTGCTCATACGCTGCTAACACACATTGCTTTTTCCTCTTGCTAGTGCGTGTGCTGCGAAAGAGATGTGACACAATGCCCGTGTTATGTGCTGTGCCCACGACAAGTCTTTAATAAAGTAATTTCACTCACCTCAGGTTTTCAAGGTTTTCATGATGTGTGTAAAATCATGGCTTAGGGAGGGTTGTTTGTGCCCACATGTTTTTTTTTTTGTTTTTTTTTTAAATGTTCAACAAGAGTACAAAAATATACAGAAAAGGTATAAATCCTATAATAACACAGAATAAACAGCAGAACAAAGCAAAACTAAAATAGAAACAAAAAATTATGCCAGGGGTAGTATAAACTATGATTACTTTAAATCTATCTTAAAGCAAGGTCATAGTGATGTGTAAAAGGTCACATAGAATACAGTCAGCTGGGTATTTTAGAAAAGAGACAATACTGTAAGATTGACATAGTGTTATTGATTTAAAGCTGTAACATTGCTGGAGGTAAAGATTGTATCCAAATAGTATTTCAAATCTTTACAAAAAATAAGAAACTGGCTTTATAGACAACAATTTGTGATTGTGTGTAAAAACGTTGCTTGTAAAATAAATAGATTTATTCGAAATCGTATAAAAAAATGTATTCGAATTTATTATTAAAAATGTATTCGAATTTAGTATTAAAAATTTATTCGAATTTAGTATTTAAAAATTGTACTTTATCGACATAACCAAATAAAACATCCTTGTATAACAGAAAATTTATCTAAAAGAGAGAGACATGAATAAACAGAATTCGCGTATTTTTGATGACACCTTGACTTAGTGTGAAATCATGGGAGTTGTGGTCTACTTTAACTCATCCATCGACATGATTTCTGCAGGATATAATGCATTCAACACTTATCATCATAGTTTAAAGCAGAGTACAGCTGAAACTGGCAGTGAAATGACAAGCTGAAGTCAACTGCTTCCTGTTTTTCTGCTCATGATAAAGTTGCACTGTTATATCATACTAAATATATTTTAGGGTTATGTTATCTTGCTGCTCTAAACGGTCTGGTGTAACACAACATATTAAAGCATCTTTAATCTGTAAATTGTGGAATTGGGACAATACTAGCATGGCCTCACATGGCATGGTCAAAGTCACTAGTTAAAATTGCTCTGAAATTCTTTAAACCATTTAGTATAATGTACTTACACAAGTCAGCAAAAAGATACTGCACTATTATAATGGTAAAAACGTACATATTGTGACTTTAAAACTTTTAAAAACTGAAATATAAGGATAAAAGATATTAATAGATTTAAATTCATGTTTTTTAAGTTCAAAGTGATATGCTTAATTGTAGTCCTAGACATCAGACATGGCTCTATTTAAACAGTGTACATTATTTAAAACTAAATGTCTTTTCCACAGTTACCTGACATTCCTCCTCCAGAGCACAAGGAATATAAACCAGGTCCCATAGGTAAAGAGCGTTCGCTCAAGAACCGTAAGGCTGCCAAAGATGTGCGTCAGTCTGATGGAGAAGGCTTGGATAACAGTGGAACTGGAGCCAGTCGAGACCGAGACTCCAGCTCACCCGCTAAAGACAAAGTTCCTGAGCTCGGTGGAGACATTGAAGGCATGATCACTGCTCCTGCAGCAGAGTACTCCAGCAGCTCTAAGGTGCGACATAATATCCTGCCGCCCTAATGTCACAATGTATACGGTTTAAAGGTTTGGGATCAATGTTTTAAAAGAAATATTAATCATAATACCACAAAAATATGAAGCTGCAGAACTTTTTAATTCCGTTATCAGCATATTAGACAGTCCCACCAGGATTTTGTGGGACTTTTTTTCTGAATGCGGTCTAAAATGACCTTTATTTGTGTCATTTTACTGTAAAAAATATATACCACAGACTAAAGTCTTTATGTAATTTTTTTTTAAATTACTTCTAATAATAATTCTGACTTTTAATCATGAATCAGGTGTTCGCGGGAGGTGCCGGTTCGCTGCTTCTGCTCATACGCTGCTAACACACATTGCTTTTTCCTCTTGCTAGTGCGTGTGCTGCGAAAGAGATGTGACACAATGCCCGTGTTATGTGCTGTGCCCACGACAAGTCTTTAATAAAGTAATTTCACTCACCTCAGGTTTTCAAGGTTTTCATGATGTGTGTAAAATCATGGCTTAGGGAGGGTTGTTTGTGCCCACATGTTTTTTTTTTTGTTTTTTTTTTAAATGTTCAACAAGAGTACAAAAATATACAGAAAAGGTATAAATCCTATAATAACACAGAATAAACAGCAGAACAAAGCAAAACTAAAATAGAAACAAAAAATTATGCCAGGGGTAGTATAAACTATGATTACTTTAAATCTATCTTAAAGCAAGGTCATAGTGATGTGTAAAAGGTCACATAGAATACAGTCAGCTGGGTATTTTAGAAAAGAGACAATACTGTAAGATTGACATAGTGTTATTGATTTAAAGCTGTAACATTGCTGGAGGTAAAGATTGTATCCAAATAGTATTTCAAATCTTTACAAAAAATAAGAAACTGGCTTTATAGACAACAATTTGTGATTGTGTGTAAAAACGTTGCTTGTAAAATAAATAGATTTATTCGAAATCGTATAAAAAAATGTATTCGAATTTATTATTAAAAATGTATTCGAATTTAGTATTAAAAATTTATTCGAATTTAGTATTTAAAAATTGTACTTTATCGACATAACCAAATAAAACATCCTTGTATAACAGAAAATTTATCTAAAAGAGAGAGACATGAATAAACAGAATTCTCGTATTTTTGATGACACCTTGACTTAGTGTGAAATCATGGGAGTTGTGGTCTACTTTAACTCATCCATCGACATGATTTCTGCAGGATATAATGCATTCAACACTTATCATCATAGTTTAAAGCAGAGTACAGCTGAAACTGGCAGTGAAATGACAAGCTGAAGTCAACTGCTTCCTGTTTTTCTGCTCATGATAAAGTTGCACTGTTATATCATACTAAATATATTTTAGGGTTATGTTATCTTGCTGCTCTAAACGGTCTGGTGTAACACAACATATTAAAGCATCTTTAATCTGTAAATTGTGGAATTGGGACAATACTAGCATGGCCTCACATGGCATGGTCAAAGTCACTAGTTAAAATTGCTCTGAAATTCTTTAAACCATTTAGTATAATGTACTTACACAAGTCAGCAAAAAGATACTGCACTATTATAATGGTAAAAACGTACATATTGTGACTTTAAAACTTTTAAAAACTGAAATATAAGGATAAAAGATATTAATAGATTTAAATTCATGTTTTTTAAGTTCAAAGTGATATGCTTAATTGTAGTCCTAGACATCAGACATGGCTCTATTTAAACAGTGTACATTATTTAAAACTAAATGTCTTTTCCACAGTTACCTGACATTCCTCCTCCAGAGCACAAGGAATATAAACCAGGTCCCATAGGTAAAGAGCGTTCGCTCAAGAACCGTAAGGCTGCCAAAGATGTGCGTCAGTCTGATGGAGAAGGCTTGGATAACAGTGGAACTGGAGCCAGTCGAGACCGAGACTCCAGCTCACCCGCTAAAGACAAAGTTCCTGAGCTCGGTGGAGACATTGAAGGCATGATCACTGCTCCTGCAGCAGAGTACTCCAGCAGCTCTAAGGTGCGACATAATATCCTGCCGCCCTAATGTCACAATGTATACGGTTTAAAGGTTTGGGATCAATGTTTTAAAAGAAATATTAATCATAATACCACAAAAATATGAAGCTGCAGAACTTTTTAATTCCGTTATCAGCATATTAGACAGTCCCACCAGGATTTTGTGGGACTTTTTTTCTGAATGCGGTCTAAAATGACCTTTATTTGTGTCATTTTACTGTAAAAAATATATACCACAGACTAAAGTCTTTATGTAATTTTTTTTTAAATTACTTCTAATAATAATTCTGACTTTTAATCATGAATCAGGTGTTCGCGGGAGGTGCCGGTTCGCTGCTTCTGCTCATACGCTGCTAACACACATTGCTTTTTCCTCTTGCTAGTGCGTGTGCTGCGAAAGAGATGTGACACAATGCCCGTGTTATGTGCTGTGCCCACGACAAGTCTTTAATAAAGTAATTTCACTCACCTCAGGTTTTCAAGGTTTTCATGATGTGTGTAAAATCATGGCTTAGGGAGGGTTGTTTGTGCCCACATGTTTTTTTTTTTGTTTTTTTTTTAAATGTTCAACAAGAGTACAAAAATATACAGAAAAGGTATAAATCCTATAATAACACAGAATAAACAGCAGAACAAAGCAAAACTAAAATAGAAACAAAAAATTATGCCAGGGGTAGTATAAACTATGATTACTTTAAATCTATCTTAAAGCAAGGTCATAGTGATGTGTAAAAGGTCACATAGAATACAGTCAGCTGGGTATTTTAGAAAAGAGACAATACTGTAAGATTGACATAGTGTTATTGATTTAAAGCTGTAACATTGCTGGAGGTAAAGATTGTATCCAAATAGTATTTCAAATCTTTACAAAAAATAAGAAACTGGCTTTATAGACAACAATTTGTGATTGTGTGTAAAAACGTTGCTTGTAAAATAAATAGATTTATTCGAAATCGTATAAAAAAATGTATTCGAATTTATTATTAAAAATGTATTCGAATTTAGTATTAAAAATTTATTCGAATTTAGTATTTAAAAATTGTACTTTATCGACATAACCAAATAAAACATCCTTGTATAACAGAAAATTTATCTAAAAGAGAGAGACATGAATAAACAGAATTCTTTAAAAAAAAAAAAAAATCATAACATGGGCACATTCCCAAAAAGATGATTGACAGATTCATCCATTATTCCACAAAATGGATGTTTTTTTTATATATAAACATTCACCAGATAAACTCAATGTAGCAATTTGAAGGAAACCTTTTTAACCTTATTTGTGATTTTAAAAATGTGTTGGGTAAAGACCACACAATCTTCCAAGGAATATCCTGAAATTAATTATTCAAGTGAAATATGACAAGAGGAATAGGCTATTTCATTCTAAAAAGATGTCCAATCTATCCATGTCTGAGAGAATTAAACATGAAACAAATTTTTCCAAGCACTGTTTCACAGGCATTAATCAATGAAGTAAAAAGGAGTACAGAATCAAGGTGTTTTTTTATTTTTTTAAGGGCAATAGCTCCACTGGGAATTGCGTTCATGACTACGACAAACTCTTGTGGGGTTATAGGAATACAGTGTTTACTTAAGATAAGTTGAAAAACTAAGCAAAAATTGTCCATAAACCAATTAGGAAAAAATATAGATTTGTTTTTATAACAAATTTCATGGTTATTCCAGATATAATACCTATGGGGACTGAAGTTGTTTATATATTAGATGCCACGCCAATAGTACTTGCTAATGGGAATTGGATAGTTTAATAGGAAGTTTAGAAATATTATAATTAAATACTAACATAAAGGGAGACCACCAACTGATATGCATACAAGGTCAAAAAACTCGTTCATTGTCTTATAATATGCATTTATTTTTACCTAATTGTCCAAGCAACTCCCTTATGATTCGTTCAGCGATTCATTTATTCCCAAACCCCTCCTTAGCGCAAAGCTAATCTGCACTGATTGGACCGATGACAGCCTGTTGTGATTGGTCGACAGTGTACATCACGAGAGTAAAATGCTCAGAATGGCATATCAACAATATTGAAGTAGTCAGAGTGCATAGTGTATGTGTGGGCATACCTGAAAAAACTCCTGTTTTTCCCTGGAATCTCCCGTATTTCAGACCCATTTCCAACCATCCTCGCGTTTCGTTATTTAACCTGGAAAACCTGTAATTTCAACAAAATTAGACTCAATATGAGAATATAAAGAGTTAACCAGATACAGTACAAGAGGTTACAAGTTACAAAACACAATTAAATACATCATTTGCAAGCTAGAGAAAATAAAAAAGCAACCATTTTAATCGCACTCACACTTGTGAAATGGAGGAAGAAACTGATCTATGATCCACTGATCCTTGTACTGATAAAGTTCCTGTTGAGCTTTGACAAAGTCCTATACAAAAATAGTCTTTTCTGATCCTTCCCCTAACAAACGGCCGACGAATCCTACGTTGTAAGCATGTGTGGATTCAAGTAGCACTCGTCAGAAAAATGACGGGAACTGCACAAGGCTGGGCTATAATGCTGAGGTATTTTTGCAAAAATAAACCTCAACCACTGACACTTCACATTTTCATCTTTGGGTAGATAAAATAACTCTGACTTTCCTGCACGCTTCCAATAATATCCAGTTGAGCACAGCAACTTCATGACTTGATTCAACCGGGAACTGCTGCAGTGCTTGTCTACCTCTTTTTCTTTGCTACTGTGTTTGTGAGTGGGGCCGCAGGTTTCAATCTTCCCGGGTTTGCGCGGCACAACAGCTGGACGGAGCTTAAGTTTTGCATCGACGTCACACTCAAATAACAAAAGACTCGTTATCAAGATTCATTTGAAGCACTATGAGTCAACTCTTTTATAAATGAGTAAATGTTTTAAACCCAAAGAGCTTTTAGATTTAAGCCTTAGCTGGATATTTCGCTTCACTTAGAGTTGTGTTACACAATACATGGAAGGTCATTTTCAAAAACCCATAATAGGGGCTCTTTAAGTCAACATTAATACATTTAGGTTAGTTTTCTGACATTTTAGGTTAGTTATCTGACATTTCAGATACATTTTCTAATGTTTTTGATGAAATAAACTGTCTTGCTGGGCATTCTTTTTTAGAATCAAAAACATCTATTTTGGGAGTATTTTAATAGGATATTACAAAGATAAATGATTTGTAAAGAGTTTTTTTACTGAGAGTGTGCCTTTTTATTGTGCAGGAGTCTGTGACTGACTACACAGTCCCGTCGTCCTCTTTAGCTGACAACGTCCCCACTGCAGGAACCAAGATGGAGGAGAGTCTTGTGTCACCTGTTAGTGCTCAAGTGCTGTAATCAATCTTCATTGGTATAGTTGTTTTTGTGTGTGTGTTCTAATTTGTGTCCTGGTTGTTGATTCAGGTGGCCCTCCCGCACCCATTGCCTATTCAAAGAAGAGAAGCCCTGCAGCAGAGCTCCAGTCTTGCTACAGTCTCTCCTGCCACCGTTGACCTCACACTCAAAGTACGATACACACACACACACACACACACACACTGCTTCGCTAAATAAATGTAATGTTTTACAAATTCTGACCCCCTTAATCAAAACTGGTAATATACAAGGACTAGTGTTATCTTATTGTTTGCAATTTATAAAAATGGTAACTATAGTAAAAAACCTTGCATATTAATGATAAAATCTGAAATCTGCCTCTGCAGTCTGGAACTGATTTAGTAAGGGCTGTTTAGTGTGAATACAATAGTTCTTTGCAATAAATAAATATATTACAGTAGCACATGTGTGATGATATTTTGCATGCATGCTTTTAACAAAAAGATTTACTCGTGTACTTTTACTCAATTCACTGTTGCAACCGTTGAATGAATTAAATGGTGTATTTTTGTGACGATATATGGTTTCAGATCATAAAGTTTTAAAGAAATCAGTTTTATAGTATTCTATACAATAATTAAAGCTAGGTCGATTAGCATTTTATTATAAAAATATCCAGGATGTCTTTAAGGGGATGTGTCAACCAAAGTAAAAATGTGCCGTTTACTCCAAATCTTTGTGAGCTACTTTTAAGAAAGCTCTAAACTGGTAGCCATTGGCCCCCATAGTAAGGAAAAAGATACTAATGGAAGTAAATGGCTACCAGCTTCCAACATTCTTCCAAAATTTTTCTTTTGTGTTTTTCTGCATTCAACAAGAAAATTTGGTCACACTTTACAATAAGGTTCATTAGTTAATGTTAATTAATCCATTTACTAACATGAACAAACAGTGAACAATAAATTTACTACAATATTTATTCATGTTAAATGTTAGTTAATGAAAATACAGTAGTTCATTGTTAGTTCATGTTTACTCTTGGTGCATTAACTAATGTTAACAAGCACAGACTTGAATGTTAATAATGCATTAGTAAATGTTCAATTATGATTAATAAATGCTGTACAAGAGTGATTAGTTCATGTTAGTAAATGCATTAACTAATGAACCTTATTGTAAAGTGTTACCGAAAATTTGGTAAATAAAATTTTTTATTATTTGTTTGGTCAAATGTCTTTATAACAATATAGATAGACCATATATTACCACAATCATGTGTTTGTGTTCATTATTGATTTCTTCAATCATGTACTCTACTACAGATAACTGGCTGGCTTCTGTGCATATCTGGATTTTAGTGCTGGGTTTCTGTGGGGTCTTAAAGTCTAAAATTTGAAAATCAAAATTTAAGACTTTTAAAAGTATTAAATTCGCTGTTCTAGGTCTTAAATATTTTTGCACAGGTCTTTTTTTTTCCCGATGTCTATGTAACTCTACATCTAATGCTCATTTAAATTCTTTTTTGTTGGTGTTGCTAGGTTTTCGTGTTGTTTTAGTTATTTATTTTACTAGTTTAATTGTAATTTGCAATATTACAACTGCAAATTAGGTCAACATGAATGAGCCAATTAGCTTTTTGTTACTGATCTTAGTGTGCGCAGCAAATGCGACGTCATCGCTGTTTGCGGAGGTTCGCTTTGGGTGCGCGCTACATGATTTTGGCTTGTGGAGTATGGCATTATTTCACTAAAAATGTCGTTAGCGCAGTCAATAGCGCATTCATGTAATACGAGAGAGTGAATCTCTTTGCTCACGTGCCGGTTTCCTCTGTTCATGAACAAAACAGTTTCCTAGCTCTCAATACACTGGCTGCTCGCGTGTGAATTATCTGCTGTCGCTACTGTAATGTAGCTTCGTTCATATCATCCCTCTATCAAGAAAATTTTTTGGGTTTTTAGTCATACAGAATCATACTCTAAACATGCTACCAAAAGCACAATTTTTAAACCCGCTTCCTTGTATGCTCTTGCAGATGGAATCGGCAAGGAAGGCTTGGGAAAACTCACCCAGTCTGGTTGAAAAGAGCTCTCCTGTCACCTCCTCTGCTTCCCCCATCACCAGTGGAGGAGGAGCAGGCAGTGCCCCCTTCAACTCCTTCTCCAGTGCTTCAGTGCCACAGATACCTGTGGCCTCTGTCACCCCCAGCACCTCCCTGTCTGGTATGAGTTCATGCTTTTCACTCTGACAGATAATATTGTGTTGTTCTGGTATAGGCAGACATGGCCAGATTGACCTTTTTTATTTCTCTATTACACAGGGTCTGCAACTTACACAACATCCTCTCTAAGCACCAAGAGCACATCAGCTTCTGACCCTCCCAACATCTGTAAGGTGAAGCCGCAGCAGCTGCAGAGTTCAGGAATGTCCAGCACTAACTTTTCCCAGTTGGGCTGTGCTCCTTCTCTGCTCCCACCGCAGCAGCAACAGACCCCACAGGTGTTCGTTTCCCAGTCTGCAGCAGGTACTTTCATTTGTATTCTACATTACCATCATGAATCTGTTTATAAGTGCTGCTCATGTAGTTAAATACACTGCCCTTTAGGGGTGTGAACCTACACTGGTCTCACAATTTGATTTAGTTAAGACTATCATGCCATCCATTTGGTTCAATTTAATATCTGAGTGCATTACGATGCATTGATGCTTTTCTTAAACCATTTTGATATTTTACTTAGCAAAACAATTCCTGTATCAAAATTGGTAATTTATAACTATATTTAAATATTATTTGTAATACAATTCTGTCCTGTAATGCAAGCAATCTTATACATGTACTGTAATTTGACCTGCTTTTTTGAAAACTTTCTTTTTGAATGCATTAAACAAAACTCAAGCACATGCACAAAACAACATGAGCATTTATATCAAATAAACAAATGTAAATATCTGCATCACGATACATCGAAGAAACAATTAATTTTGACACCTCTACTGCCTTTAAGATTTTTGGAATTGGTAGTACTGATTTATAAATTCATTCCTATATTTATGACACCAAGCTTAAAATTCAGCAGCTGATTTAGGGCTTAAACACTTCTTGCAGTTATTAATGAACAGTTAATGTTGTTATGAACAATAAAAAGAACAGGTAAACATTTTGGCATGTTTTTAGGGCTGTGCTGACATGGATTTTTTGTGATTTATCATTTTTATTTTTTGTCATGACTGCTAAAACAAAAGGCAAACACAGTGAACTGATTTATTAAAACAAAACTGGTTTCTGAACTTTATTAGCTATCCTTTTCCACGGCCAACGTTTTTAATACAAATAAAACTGAAAATTACAACCAAAAAAAGCATGAATAAAGCAACCAAGTCAACGAACATTAACTGAAATCAAAATACCAGTAAAATAATAAAGTGGCATTCAAAAAGCACATGACATGTTCAATGTGTGGAAAATCTGTTATTTATTGGTTTAAACATTAAAAAAAAAAAAAAAAATTTACCAATTAGCAATTTACGCTAGTGTTTCCCAAGAAGTCTCAACTTAAAATATTTCACAGGTTATTTATTATAGCGCACTATCAATTCCCCTTTTTCGACAAGGAAAAAATCCTTGGACATGACATTACACTTTATTACTTTAATACTCAATAGGATATGTTGTAAGGGTTGCACGGCATTGGAAACATCTAACATTGAGATTTTTTTTTTTTTCTGCAATGTGTATTGTAATATAAATACAATCTCACTAAATGTGTTGATTAACTATTTGGAAAAATTTCGAATTTTAGAATGTTTGGGATGATTCTGTAGTGCAGTGCATATGCCAAATGCAAGTAAATTTTAGCTGTGGCGGGTTAAATAGACACTCCTACTGGCCACTTTTTTTACTGGTTTAAAATCATTTTTATATTGTACTTTTCTTAAAAGCAGGGTTTGACAATAGAGATGGCCTAATATGTATGCAAATGTGATTTTTAGAATCGAGAAGCAGCATGACTAACAAAAATGCAAGTGTTTGCGTGTGCAAAAGAAGGCTGAATATCGAATGAGAGGGCATCACTCATGCTTATAACTCGCGCGCACAGGTAATGTGATGACTGTTTAGAAAGTGTTTATGCGCCCGTTTCCTGGCGTGAAGCAACCATGCCTAACCATGCCTGCAACTGCTGTTATCGGTTCTCTTTAAAAATGAACTGGACAAAAAGTGATGCTTGTGCACCCACTGTCCTGCTGCTTTCAAGAACTCCAGACTTTTAAATAAAATGTCTTTTGAAAGCAGCAGTGGTTCTTGTTTTCGCAAACCAATGTTTGAATCAATTATGGGCCTAACATTACCCGTGTGCATGTAATCATCCTTCCATTATTCCACGCTTTCTTGTGCTTATAGTTATTTTGGTTGATATGGTTCACTGATCTGGAACCTTTAGCCGATTACTGTGCCTAGTTTTAGATACATGGTAATAATTCTTTTAAATGTTAATTGGTTTAAAAAAAAAAAGTTTTGTTGAATAAAAAGTGGATGTATACAGCTATATTTTGCTTGTTTTGCCACATTATTTAAAAATTGTGCCTAAGAAATAATTTTTTTTTTTTTTTTTTTTTTTGTATGGTCTGACAGATAAATTTGGTAAATCCCTAATTTTAAGCCCTGAAAAGTCATGTAAAATAAAATAACTAATTTCACTGCGACACTATGAAATCACAACCTATTTGCTCAAGCGCATTAAACAAGTTCATACACACACAAAAAAAATTAAATGAATAAGAACTCGTGGACATAACACACAGTCTAAACCAAGTCATTTTAGCCTGTCAAAGTCAAATTTTTTGCATATAGAATATCTTTTCCCAACAACAAAAGTGTGGCTACTGAAAATGGCGAATGGCTAGTAATGTTGGAAAACTACTAGCCACAGTCAAGACCTGATTATAATTCAGACTCAACATTGCATATGCTTCATGGAAGAAAACTCAGCAATACAATACAGACAAATCAGTACTCCGAAATAATGCTAAAATTGTAGAGAGTCTTTTAAAAAAGTTCATTTAATTGTTTCTAATCATGTAGGTTCTGCAGCTCAAATCCCGGCCTTCTACATGGACACCAGCCACTTGTTTAGTGCAACTCACCCTCGCCTGGCTCCTCCCTCCATAGCACAGCAGCAAGGCTTTCAACCTGGACTTTCACAGGTATAAATCTCTCCCACCAGCAATAGTCTCATTTTCTCTCATGTTCTTGATTGACACTCTGGTCTCGTCATAGCCCACAGCAGTGCAGCAGATCCCCATCCCTATCTACGCACCTCTGCAGGGGCAACATCAACACCAACACCAACATCAACACCAACACCAACATCAACACCAACACCAACACCAACATCAACACCAGCATCAGCACCAGGCCCAGTTGAGCCTTAGCACTGGACCTCCGGTGTCTCAGCCTCAAGACCTCTTCAGCTCCTCCATACAGCCCTACAGGTATCACTAAGAACTTTTCAGAATCAGTCATGTTATATTTCAGTACGTTTAGATAGTTTTTGTTTTAAAACAAGAGAGAAAAAAGAAGTTGTTTTCAATCACGTGGTTCTGGTGAGTAAAAAACTGAATGGGTGACAGAGGAAAGACTGTATTTTTGCGATTTTTAATACCATATTTCAAAGGAGATATGAATAGAAAATAACCACATATGTTGGGCGTTAACCTTATAACATGAAGAGGGCTGAGTTTTCAACTGAACTAAAATATATTTGCCTGTCATCGTGGCGGTAGATACTGTATAAGCTGTTGCGCTACGTGAAAAAATACTAGTAAATACTATAGTGTTTTGAAGCATACTTATTGGAATTAAACTGTTGTAGTAATTTTGTTGTTGCTGTGGTACAAAGCAACTGCAGTATTAAACAAATTATTCAACAGGCTTCAGTTTACCAAGCTATAATTATACATCATCACAATGATATGTTATACAGTAAACATAATGCAGCAGAGTTTACACTAACATTATTGTATTAATTACAGAATATTCATGAACACTGGTTATTCACCACAACAAGCCATTGGTTGTTTGCTCTCTGATTTGTTACTAGTCAGTAGAGCTGTGATAAAAAATCATTTTAGAAATTGGGTCTTCATCATTTGTGATTTTTCTAAATGCAATGCAATTTGTCTCTTGAATCAATTTTGAGCTTGGTTTTTAACAGTAGATAGCACTCTAGGCTTTACAAACAGCTGTACTCTGCATGAATCTTTTTTTTTTATTTTTTTTTTTACAAATACTACTTGAATCACACAGTTAAGAAATGTTAAAGCCCATTCAAAAGCGTTTTCTTCATGAGCATTGAAAGTATGGTTAAAATCAAACCTAGAGCACCATCTGCTGTTAAAATCTCAGAATTGTTTCGAAAGAGACTAGCAATGCATTTTGAAAATACCATGCTGGTCTGAGACCACACCAGATGAGGAAAAAGTGTTGAGCAAATTATGGATTGTATAAGTGGTTATACACCTCCACCTTGTTATTGTCCACATTAGTGTCATATAAGAGGGATTGATAAGTAAGAGAAGGATACACCAATCAGGGAGAAATAGTGGATAGCAACACCTCTGTATTCGAATCTTTTTGGCACGAGACTTCCGTTCTCATTCACTTCCATTATTTTTAGACATTAAAAACTGCTCGTTTCGCTGCTTGATGTTGCAAACTGATATTTCCTTGTTATATTATTCTACTTGGTCTGTATAGTCATGCAAACATTTGTTTGTAGAGCAAGTAGTTTGAGCAATTTTTGCCGTTTATTATTCCTTGTCATTTCTCCCATAGGCGACTGAAACGAAAGTTCTAAGACAATCGCGAAAACAGGCGCACTTCCGCATTTTAGAATACTGAAATAGGTCAATACTGAAAATCTGCCTTTGCATGTGGTCTTGCAAAATGGGGTCTTCTGTGTTTTCAAAATGTTGCTTATGTGGATCAAAAACCCCAAAGAACTGAAGCCACTAGTGGTCCATTCTTCGTACCTCACTTAAATAATCTAAGGTCCAGTTTACACTAATGCATTTTCGTTTTAAAATGCATACGTTTTGCTATGGTTACGCCACCCGTCCACACTATGCCCTGTGCACACTATGCACTATGAGCTTTCGAGTGCCGAAAACGCTGGAGAGGCCGTTTACATTATAAAACGCTGCTGCTTCGTCTCAGTGTAGATGTAAAACGGAGACATCTAAAAACGGAGGCGGGGCTGCTGACATTCTGATTAAGGCTTTTCCTCAATATTAAGTAGCCTACACACATAGTTTAGTATCGCATCCTCTCCCTGCAAGTTCAGACTTTTGCAAGTTTGATATGGAAAACAGACCCTCGAGGACATGTCTGGTAAATCTTTAAAGGGAACAGTGTACTTTATAACCTTATTCACATCATACTTTATACATACTTTATAACCCTATTCACACCTGGCTACGTTGTTTCACTTTCTCAACAATAAAATGAATAATAAAAACATGAAGGAACTGCCTATTTTCATTTTGATATTAACAACTTAACAGACAGCAGAAATGTTGAGGCGTCATGCTGCATCTTCACTGTATGCATATTTATAATAAAACAGAGCCTATAACATTACTGCCTCCTTTCATTTTCATGAAAAATACGAAACGTATCCTCTGCTTTGCTGAATGTCAGTTTTAATAATCAATAATAGCCATTATGAAAGTATAACGCATAATAAGTTTATACATTATAGGAAATAAAGGCAAGCGATCAGTCAATATACAGAATGTACGTGGTTACATTAATTATTAACTTATCTTTGCGCTCAGCCAAAACACGTTACCTGTGAACAAGTGATCAATTCAAATGACCAAAATCGGGCAATATGTCGTTCGTTAGATATAGACAACAAGATTAATTAAATATTACGTTTAGCAAATATAGTGAGATTAGATCCAGCGGGAGATGCTTGATAAGCAGTCCGACCAGCACAGCTCTCATTTGGGTAGATATGCTGCAGCCCGAGAGTGAGAGTGAGTGTGTGTGTGTGTGTGTGTGTGTGTGTGTGTGTGTGTGTGTGTGTGTGTGTGTGTGTGTGTGTGTGTGTGTGTGTGTGTGTGTGTGTGTGTGTGTGTGTGTGTGTGTGTGTGTGTGTGTGTGTGTGTGTGTGTGTGTGTGTGTGTGTGTGTGTGTGTGTGTGTGTGTGTGTGTGTGTGTGTGTGTGTGTGTGTGTGTGTGTGTGTGTGTGTGTGTGCGTGCGTGCGTGCGTGCGTGTGTGCGTGCGTGCCTGCGTGTGTGTGCGTGTGTGTGTGTGGTCACGTGATGTGCGTTTTCAGCGTTTTGGTGTGGACGGAGAGCTGTTCAGAAACGATGGATAAAATACTAATGTGGACGCAGATTTTTTTCATTCTAAAACGGCGTTTTAAAACTAAAATGCACTAATGTAAACGGGGCCTGAAGATGATTTGGCAGATCCTGTGTCTTTTAATCCTGATAACTTATCTCGGGCTGATTTAATTTTTCAAACAAGTTCGCGAATCAGATTAAATTGTCTGGATGAACTGATCTGAGATCGCTTCGTGTGTTGTAAAGGACAGAGCTATCGATCCTTGAAATCATAATCAGTAATGATTGGCTGACGGTTTGTTAAATATGAATAACTTTCCACATTTGTTGTGAGCTGCAGGCTTTACACTTTCATATGTCCAGAGAATTCATCATGTATTTCAATGCATATCAATTTATTTAGGTCTACATTTAGAGAAGAATTTTTTTATTGTAGCCTAGGCCTACTTACATTTTTTTAATCAGTGTAAGGAATAACTATAAATTAATTTTGCATCAAAAAAGCATTTAGATATCGTTTAAGTTGTCAATCACCTGCATAATAGCGGTCAAAACACGTGCTTGACTGCATAAATTATAATGCTTTAAAAAAAAAAAAAAGTTTTCTCTTTGAACGACCAGGTGGCAGTCTTTGTACTACTTTTATTTCGTAGTGCAGTTCGCACAAGTTTTATTAATATATATGTTTTTAAATATATTTTTAAATATACATATATTTTTTATTAATATATATATATATATTATAACTAAGTGTATATAACTACTGTAAGAAAATATTAGCATTTAGTACATACTTTCAATATCATCTTTGCTTGAACTGACCCGATCTAATCCTGTTTATATGAAATAAACCTGCTCCCAAGCAGGTTTGAGCTACCAGAACTGTTGCTATGACTACAAGTCTCAGATGAGTTTTGAAGAAGGAAACAATCCTGGATCGTGTCAAATCGTCAATAACCAAATTCAGCTAATTGAGTAATCCAGATACAAAGAACGGACCCCAGGTGTAAATGCTTTCTTACTTTGTGCTTTTCTACATTCACAGGTCTCAGCAGGCATTCATGCAGAACAGCCTCTCCCAGACGTCTCCCATGATGCTATCTGGGACTCCGCTGCACAGTTACCCTGGAGTGCAGCCCCCAGACTTGGGCAAGCCTCAGTCCAGCTTGGCCTTCCAGCAAACCTCAAGCACCCAACACATCCCTATCCTATTCGAGCCCCAGCTGAACCAGCCTTCTGGCATGGGAGGATCACAGCTGATAGACACTCACCTGCTGCAGGTCAGAGATTAGTTTTTTGTTGCTTATATACTTATAGCTTTTTCTTCTGTCAAGTTATCCGTCCTGATCTAAAGTGTTTCCTTTGTGTAATCTGCAGCGTCAGGGGTTGGGTCAGCACTCAAACCTGTACTCTGGGCAAGTCCAGCAGCAGAGCAGCTACTACAGCTCAACACAAAGCCCCAGCTCTGCCCTGCAGCAGGTGACCGTTCCAGTGCCTGGTTCACAGTTGTCTTTACCCAACTTTGGCTCTGGTGGAGGTCAGCCGCTCTTGGCTTTGCCTCAGTCTCTTCCGCCGACTCCTCCTCAAGCGCCACCTCCCAGCCTCAACCGGCAGCCACCCAACAATCCGCCCTACCGTGGCCTCATTGGCCAAAACACACACAGCATGATGCAGCCTTCCAACAAGGTTTGTGTGCAGATGCAGTAATACATTATTATACCTTATGCTTTTATAGCTAATTTAAAATGTACTGCACTTCATATACTCTAAGTTGTATGTAAAGTTAATGACTGTAAACCATAATAACCCATGTGGTCTTGTTTACTTAAACTTAAAAACCTAAATTCCTTAAGATGCGGTTTCCTGAGTGTAAATGAGGTGTTAAATGTTTGGAGCTTGGTTATTCATGATCACTTCCAGAGGATAAAGTAAATTGGGAGTAGCTTAACTGACTCCTAAAAGAAAAAGCCACCATAGGCCACATACTCTTCTACTGCTGACCAAATATGAGAGTTATGAAATTTTTTGTGAGAAAAAACAAACAAACAAGTTTTCATACTTCACATTAATGTACCAAAACACATGTATTGCTGTCAAAATAGCTTCCATTCAGATAGTTTATTCTATTTCTTTCTTGCTCTCCAGTAAGCCATCAAACACGGGTTGTTCATTCAATGCTACTTGTGTTCTCCTACACAATGTAAACTTTGTTGAAATTTCACCGCAATAGCTGCATTTGGTTGCATATAAATGCAGATTGTCACAGTGAAGTGTTTTGGCTGATCACTTGTTAGTAGATGACTCAATAAGCACATTGATAATCTCTCAGAATATGAGTAAACAATTTTTTGTTTTAAAAATTGGTAAATTTGTATTGTTTTAACTAATATTTAAGGAGTTGCAATATAAATTGGTGTTTTCTGAATGCAATGTTTCTACTAGGGTTTTCAAAAGCATTGACTTCAGTACCAGTCGGTCATTCATTCATTTATTCATTCATTTTCAACCACTTTTCTGGGGTGGGGTTGCAGGAACAGCAGTCTTAGTAGTGGACCCCAGACATCCCTCTCCCCAGACATTTCCTCTAGCTCTTCTGGGGTGGATCTCGAGGTATTCCCAAGCCAACCGAGAGACATAGTCTCTCCAGTGTGTCCTCTGTTTTTACCGAGGCCTCCTCCTGGTGGGACATGCTTGGAACACCTCCCTAGGTAGATGTCCAGGAGGCGTCCAAAACAGATGTCCAAGCCGCCTCAGAGGAAGAGGAGCAGTGGCTCTACTCCGAGCTCCTCTCGGGTGACGGAGCTTCTTACCGTATCTATAAGGGTGCACCCTGCCACCCTGAAAAGGAAACTCATTTCGGCCGCTTGTATTCGAGATCTTGTTCTTTCGGTCATGACCCAAAGCTTATGACTATAGATGAGAGTAGGAACGTAGATTGACTAGTAAATCGAGAGCTTTGCCTTTTGTCTCAGCTCCTCCTTTACCACATCGCTTTGGTACATTGACCGCATTACTGCCGCTGCTGCACCAATCCACCTGTCAATCTCACGTTTCATCCTTCCCTCACTCGTCAACAAAACCCCAAGATACTTTAACTCCACCGCCTTGGGTATGGACTTTCCTCCAACCTGGAGACGGCAAGCCACTCTGTACCAATCAGTATTATTTTAATAAGCAAAGTGCTCTTGCTAGCTTTTAGACAGATCAGCTGATCCACGTGGCTTTGAAACGCTTCAATGTTCGTGTGTCTGTGTTTGCACTTGCTGAACAGTGGTGAAGAGTGGTAAACTGATGACCTTCATGTCCAGCCACAATCATGAACTCAATGGCCAGTCAGCTGTGCTTAATAACGCACTCAAAACTCGTCGGATGTTATTAGAAAAAAGTCAATACATTTGACCACCCTAATTTCTAGTTATTCAAACTGGCGAACATTTTTACTATCAGTTTTCATGGGTGACATTTCTAAAATCACTCATGGGCCATGTTAAAATATTAGCTTCATCTGTTGCAGATGTGTGAGATGGATCTGAAGCTCTTCAGTGGTGGAATTGATGTGAAACCTGGAACGCCACCTGTCAGCGCCAGGAGCACCACCCCCACCTCTAGCCCTTATAGGTGTGTATGCCAACAAAAGCAGATTTCAGCTTTACCATGTGTTTTGGGAAAGTGTTGCACTTGAACAAATCACAAGACTACAGCATAACCAACTTGTTTGTTGCTACTTGAACATCCCTTGTCTTTAGTGGGCCAAATTAGTTTCCTGACAGCTTCTTCCTTTGTGTTCTCAGGGCGAGCTCCACAAGCCCTAGTAGTCAGTCTAGCAAGATGAACAGCATGCTTTATCCAAAACAGTTCCAGACAGGATCTGCAGGAATGCGCATAGCCCAACACTTTCCAGGACAGTTCAATCCACAGGTCAGCTGCTACACACACAAGGAAAAATTGTTGTCTTAATTAAGTTGTGCAGTTTAAACAATAATGGATTTTGCTCTCTCTTTCACATGTTAGATGTTGTCTCAAGCCAACATGGTGTCTCCACTGGTACGTCCACCCCATGCAAACTCTTTTCCTGGAGGGGTGCAGCGTTCAGCCATGGGTCCACCGATGTCTACTAACCTGACGGGAGGTCTGATGCCCCATCCCAGACCTCAACATCCTCCACGTGGCCCTTCAGGTCCACCTTTAGCCCCCCGTGGCACACAGGCAGCCCTGAAAGCAGAACAAGACTTAAAGGTGGGAATTGTGATGACATTCATTTTAAACAAACAGTGAGTTTGATTTGAAAATTGACGTTATGGGTTTTGATCTCTACTTGCCGATATTTCCATATATCATGACAGTGCCTCTAGACACAGTATATATATATATATATATATATATATATATATGCTTATAAATATTGCTTATATATATATATAAGCAATATCACACAAGTAGCAGTGCGATTATGGCTGTATATCAGCACTGGTGGGAGGCGTGCGTTGGCCTCTTAACAGCAGTTATACTTGTCAAACTATAGTGTCTGCCATAGACTGTGCACTGCTTGTTGCTGGCTGTATGTGGGCTAAGTAATACACGAAGGGTAATCAGGCTGTACGGATGCTGATATTACTTAAATATCTCATGGCTGTCAGCCAATCAGATTCAAGAACCAGACAGAACTGTTGTATAAATATATATAAACCTGGGGGATGCATTTGTTAAAGCCAAAAGAGGTCATGGCAAAAGTTGTTTACTGGAAAGGAATATTTGACCTATTTGTTACAAATATTTGAACATTTGTAAACCTATCAGTTTACAATATACTGATGGCCTGTTTTTCTAGGCTTTATTGGTGTTAAAGGTTCAGGACACCCAGGAGAACTTTTTTTTTATATTAACAGATGTGTGTGTGTGTTGAGCATCAGTTAAGACAATGTTAGCACCTGTCAGCTGTAATTGTGGGGAAAACTGGATAATTTTGAGCTTTTGTCAGCTAATTTCAGCTTCCGGGTTTAAAATGAGTTTTGGGGCGGGATCAAAGTCGGCGACGTAGCGCAGAACTGCAAGTGCAATGATGACGCGTCGGTTTCTCATTATTATTCATAGCGGAGTTTTCTTATCCTATGAGAAGAGCCGGCTGCTTAATTATTTATGAGACCTGCCAGTGTCAAGCCCGAGCTGAGAGACACAGAAACCACGGCACAGTATTAGCCGTTCATGAAGGCTCATATGCGTTTGTTTCCATCATCCACCGGGTTTGTTGCATGTTTTCCCCCGCGATCTTGTCGGGGCCGATCATACAGCAAGCTGTGTGTGTGCTGCTAGCATTTTTGTCGGGAGAGCAGCACGAGAATTAGAGAATGGCGGACGCTGTCTTTTATCAGGAGTTCGTTCACATTCAGACACATCGCCGTGCTGCTGTGTTTGCCTAAATCTTCCAGATTACCAGCAGGGCTAATGGTTAAAATAGACAGGTCAGGAGACCTGCTGCACTGAGTCTGCTGGATATGGGGATTGAGGGAGAAGTCCTCATTTATAGTGTTTACATGAACACACATCTTTATAATGATATAAATTGTGGTTGTCTGTATATGAAATTACGAATAACAAATGTAGCAGGGCATTAAATTACTGTTCTTTTCTTTGCATTTTAACTTTGTAAACTATAAACTCATGCGTCTCCTCTTTGTGTCTCATTTTGTGAGCTAACTGACAACAGCAGTTATTCGCTCCCCTTCTCCCCTGCTGGCCACGCCCACTCCTGCCCTATGCTCGCGGAGCTCCACGCCCATTAATCATGCATCTTTTGAAAAAATTCTGAAGTAGACTTTAACCGAAAGAGGGGGGGTGTCATGGCACTTTAATAGTCAGGAATGTTGGATCATTTTTGGCTTTTTAGCTTATAAGTAGAGGACAGAAATTAACCAGCCTGTAATGTATAAGTTGTAGAATGGGCAAAATAAAAAGGTCTGTATTTTTTTTGTGTTCTTTTTTTTATTATTTGCTTTTATACTTTCCATAACAAAAATATAATTGTAGAGCAACCCATGTTCTGTAGTCATTAAAATGTAACTATAAGTAAAACTATCCTAGATCTGAACAAAAGCAAGTAATACTTTAAAGTTTGATTTAAAAAATCTTGAATGGTTATGAAAATCTTTATAATTATTATTGTAAATAACAAAAACAATTAGTTAAAAAATCTTGAATTATATTAATAATATGCCTCATCTGTTTGAGGTGCGAGCGCAGTCAGTGGAGGTGTGCGATGCGGCGCCAGCTAAAATTATAAATCAGCCTTAAGATGTTTTTTTTTTTTTTTCCTGTAGTTCAATGGTGCATCTAATGCAGAGTTCAGACTGCATGATTTTCAAAGCACTCGTAGTCATGATTTTCAAAGTAGTCGGATGTTTTCACACTGCTTGACTATATGGGCTAGCGTTTTGTTGCTGCTTTGTTTACACTGCAAGATGGATCGGCATGACTTTACAATAGGAATAATCGCCGACCACTTCATCCAAACTACATCTCACAACCAAAAACACATAGTAAATCTTTTGTTATTAACTACATAATGAGAAAGAAGCTTTTAATGGAGTAGAAAATGTACATATTTGCTCACCTGTGATTAAAGGGAATTAGCAATTTCTCCTCAACTTTCTTTTTTAACTTTCTGTATGACACGTCAAACAGACACGGGTGCTCCTGGCAAACCTAGTTTTTCCTCCATTTCTTGGGTCCAAAAATAAAACGAAAATGCGTGCTTTTAACTTCTCAATCTCCCGCTGGCCTGCAGGTACACACACAAGTGAATGCTGCTTTCTCATTGGCTGAAGGCGATTGGCGATGTTATTTTTAGTCACAACTCATTTCACACAGAATGATTTGTATCGCCGACAGCTCCAGATATTTAGCACTCCAAATATCTCACAGGCATTGGCAACTCATCTGCCATTTTCTCATATCGCGTCTTTGATAGTTCACACTGTGTGATTGTCACTCACATGCAAGAGCATCGATTTGCCTGTGATTTCAGGCATTTATTGGCGATCTATCAAAACCTGTCGGCGAGTCAAAATCAGGACTAAAATCATGCAGTCTGAACTCAGCATAACCTGTCTTCAGTATTTGCCACGAACTTTGTGATTTTTTTGCATTTTCTCTTTGTGTATGCATGTTTTTGATATTTCGATTTAGGTCTTAAATTTAATACTTAATGGTCTTAAAACTGTCTTTGAAAGTCTTAAATTTGACATTGTAATATCTGCAGAAACCCTGTTTATACTTTTTCTAGTTATTCCATGCTACTGGTCTCATACTGAACCAGACAAAACATGCAAATATTTTTTAATAAATACTTATTAGTCCTGTATCTAACCATAAGACTTGCTTTTGTGGACATTTGTCAAAATGTGGAGAACCACTGCTTTATTTGTTGTATATAAAGACATTTTTTAATCTTCATCTTTTCTCAGGCTAAACAGCGAGCTGAGGTATTACAGTCAACCCACAAGTTCTTCTCAGAGCAACAACAGCTCAAGGCTCCAGTCAGCAAGCCCACCCGCATAGAAGGAGCTGGCAAACCCACTGACAGCATCACTTCGAATCACCAGGGGGCGCCATCCGACCGCGTGGAGTCCGACAAACCTGCACCTCTAGCAACAACCAAACCCATCCGAACGGGTCCGATCAAACCACAGGCCATCAAACCAGAAGAGGGCAAATAGTGTTTAATTACTTCAGAAAGGACAAAATGGATGGAAGGATGGACTGAGAGGCCAGATGTCAGGGGGGAGGGGGGGGCGACATACTACAGCACCTGAAATCATCAGAGAATTGTAGGGAAGTAGAGTGATGGAGGTTAATTTTACGAGGTGCTGTGCATTTTTCTCCCACTTACTGTGCGCTTTTTCCTCATCCTTTTATCAGTCCATCCATTCTCTCCTCTGCTGTGGTTGGCATTACAGTGAAAAGCGCCCCTCCATTGTGTGAACTGCACATCCCCCAGTGAACAATGAAGGTAGACATCAACATGTTACTCTTGCTGCTGAGAATGCCATTTTATAGCAATATGATTTCCTTCTGACTTTTACACATTTCCTCATGTAGAGAAACACATTGTAGGAAGGCAGATTTCTCTTCTTTTTGATTTTCCCAGTTTATTTTGATTGCTCTTTGTGTTCTCAAGCAACATTTTGGTTATGACAGTTAAGATACAATGAACTGTACACAAACACACACACAATCGCATGTCACTATTGTGCGCTTTTGTGTGTGTGTATGCCTCTCAAAATGACTTTCACATTTTCACTTCAACCATGTGTATTGGCCTTAAATAGTATGTCATTTTTGCCGATTAGGGATTGATTACCGACATATTGGAGTAATTAATCGATTGAAGTCTCCACTGTGAGCCTTCCCTCCTGCCTTCTCAGTAGTCTACGCCTGCAAGAATCGAAGATTGTGCATTTGCGTGTACACGCAAAATTACCTTGAATCTTTAGCCAAAGGTCAGGCATCAAAAGACCTGAATCCTTTTAGATAAATATTTGATTTGACAAAGATGGCTCAACTTCGTCAACAGATAGAATTATGGTGGGGTTTTTTTTTTTCTTTGTAAACGGTTCCTCCAGACCAGGCCTATGTTTGATGTGTCCTAAGCTTTAGCCCCTCCCCTTTTCTGTGATTGACATTATGTAGACACACCTACTTCAATAGCTCCAGTCTTTCACCTTCCAGCCTCTCCACACAGCACCCAACCATGCTGCTGACCAGCTCTGACTCTCCTGACCAATCACTGCAGAGGAGGGGCGGGGTTTGGGTTGGGGTGAGTGGTCAAGCATTTTAAGTTTATCGCTGAAGAGTGTAGCTGCAAGTTTAGACTCAGTATGGGGTTTGGGGCAGGGGTGATGAAAGTTTTGAACAGAGGTCCCCAGATGTTTTGGACTACAAGTATACATGGTCTTTCTCCAAACCACTCCTCTTGGGTTGCTGTTGCGAAGAGGGGGGCCTTCAGTTGAACACAAGATTCAGTACGGCCCCCCCAGTTCTTGTTTGTTTAGTTGGAATGAGAAACTACAAACAGAAGGGGAGGAGAGGGATTTTTTTTCTTTTTTTTTCTTTTGATTTTGTTTTACTTGTACAGGGGTTAAATCGCTGTATTAAAATATGTAAGGTCTTATTTACATTCTCCTGGTTTGGTTACAGAAACTAATAAAATAATATGCTGTAAAAAATGAACTGTGGTCGTGATGCTTCTGTTTTTGGGTTAAAACTGCCTAATTCCAGATATGATACATTAACAATATACTTTTAAGCTAAATAAATTATAGCCTCTAAAGAAATGAAAACACTCATTGGCAGACTTTATAAATCTTTATTTTCAAGTTAATACGCTTCCAAAGCCACAAAATCCCAATCTTAACATCTCAAGCAGCATGTGAGATTTGCAGCAAATTCAAAAGAGAGAAGGGAAAATGATCATCATATACAGAGTGAAGATTATATGATAAAGTATTAGAGCACAAACACAACAAGCAAAGGTTTAGGTTCGTAAAGTTGCGTACTGCTCAATGATATATGAATTAAGAAGCAGGCTTGCTGTAATCAGTTGTTTGCTAGTATATTTTCCCCCTTCCTTGAATTTATTCAGTGCCATATACACAAAAACAGACAAGACATTACTTACATAGGTAGAAAAATAATTTCTCTATTAACATGTTAAGTGGATAAAATTATTAAGGATGTGAATATCGACATGATTTGATACATTATCCATTTTGGAACTTGTTGGTCAACATCTTTTTTTATCAAAGATAAATCTATGATCGAGAAGGATATACAATGCAGTTAATTGTAAGGTATTTACTGTATATAATGGGAAAATCTTGAAAAAACTCTGTTTTTATGTTACCAGGAAAGTGTTTTATTTGGTATACACACACACACACTCAGTTTCCTATACAAATACCAGCAAAAGCCTGATTGGTTGACTTATCCAGTTCTTTTTTCAGAAAAAAAAGTTCATTGTCTTTGAAAATCAGTAAGTCCAACAATTGACGTCCTACTGGATGTTTTAAGTAAAAAAAAAAAATGCAAGCTTTGATGATATGGAAATTTACAATGTTTACTCCTGCTTGCCAAGTCTCACACTGTAAGACACCATGTAATAATTATCCCAAGCATACAGCTTTCTTTTTGCGGAGTTGTAGTCTACCATGCTGTTGTAGCGATAACGGTTTTTGAAGGGCACTGATATTGCTTTACCCTGGCTGGTTGCAGTGTCAAACATGTAATTAACCGTGGTGTTTGGTGAGGTGTAACTAGCAACTGTGTAGAGCTTGCCACAGATCATAAAAGCGTTAGCCACAGATGTCTTGCGGATTTTTGTTTCCCAGGTACCCTTCACCTCAAGGTTGTGAGGGTCCAGCTGGGAGATCACGATAGCACCCTTGGCTTTATTTGTGCTGTATATAGCCCATAAGCCATTTTCATCTATTGCCAAGTCAATGTCTGTGTAGCCACCCCATGAGTAGGGGAACTGACCATGGAAACCAGCATGGGGTAGATCACGACGAGCAGCAATGCTCTCAGCATGTAGGTCGTATCTTATTAGGGTGCGGCTGAGCCTCCGCTGGTAGTATAAGGAGCCTTTATACATGGTAGCACCTGTGCTCTCTACAGATTCTGGCAGGAGTAGAACCTTGGTGGGAAAGCCACGTGTCAGCTGGTCCATGTTTTCATATCCGAAGAGTTGACGCACTTCAGAACCGACAGAATCAATACGCCATACCATGTCTGGACCATAAGGTTCCTTGGCTTCTGGATCTTGCATCCACACACCATATTTACCAGCAATACTATCAGCTTTACGATGCACCTCAGGATTTTCAACCCACACCAGATCACCACAGCCTAAAGAAATCAAAAGACACTTGTTGGAAACCAAACAATTTTGAGGAATCCTGAAATTTATTATAAGATGGATCCAGTGACCGCTTGAAAGGGAACTCTCTCAAGCTAAAATCTGCTAAAGAGGACACCTTGTCCTACCATTACTGCTAGTGTAAAAGATTAGTAGCATACTTACCCTTTCCTAAAATACCCTGTAAGAGAGAAGTACTGGGGGAAGGTATGCTTGGCAGAATTCAAAGGACTTAATGGGGAAAAACCCGAACCTTAATATCTTTTAGTGACATGGTCCTATCAAGTGATTTGCATTACCATTTTGGCTTGTTACTAAACATATACGGCTCCTTTTATAACCTAGCCTATTTTAGATGCAGATGAATTGGTAAAAATAGTAGTATTTTGTTAGTGCTGTCAGCAGGAATGATTGCTATGTGCGCGGTATCATCTTTTCAGGCATCTGAGATGAACAGATCTAGGGGCAGGGTGTATTTATATACATCAACATGTTTTGACAGTTCAGCTAGTAATGTCTACTAGATTGTGTCTCTTTGTAAAAGACTAGGTTTAGGGTGGGACTCTTACCTGAGATATCTGCTGGACCGTCCTGATTTGGGGCAGTCACCTCGGTGACCACAGCCGTCAACTCTTGGTATCCGGGATTTGAGTACTGCCATGCGGGGTCTGGGAAAGAAGGAAGACCGAAATTCACAGTCAAATTGAGACATGCATGTGCAGGTGTTGAAAACTACATTAGTCAAGACTTCACTGTCAGAATGACAGCTAGTCACATGCAGTTACTAACAAGAATGCTAAAGAATATTTATTTTTGTTAAGACTGTCCATTATGGAACTGGAACATCTTTTAATAATGCACATTGTTCTCTGCAGTAGCAAGCGTACTCTTCTCACCCCCTACCTCTTAAACTACTTTTGTCTTCTTGTGGATTCCCAGGTCTGGATGCCAAGTTGGAGGGTACATGCCCTAAAAGAAAAAGACATAAACAATATGGTGTCAAAGTTTGTAATTGTTTACTGCCCCTAATTATATGATTTCTCCAGACAACAAAAATTAAAACAGACCAATCAATAAATTTGTCAAATGACATTTATTGTTATTCTAGCACACCAAGATGGCAGTTCAAACACGTCAGGTAGGACAGAGTTCTATGTTATTGGTATTGTTCGCCTGAGAGAGAGGTATGTATGTTTGTTGGGATGCATGGTTTTGGAAGACTGGCAGCTCTACTGACAGTCAGGAATCTAACAGAAGGAAATAAACAGCCTTGAGTAGATTCCCAGCTGTCCCGGAGCCTGCCAGACTACAGACCTCCCATTACACTTCCGAAACTCAGACGTGCACTCCAGCAGGGTGTATCTACAAGGGCCCTAATTAACAATCTCAGAAAAATGCAACATTTAAAGCCTGTTACTTTGTTTATCTTTTTTTTCTTCTTGCATGTATGTGATTTAAGCATTGCTCAGTTTGAGTTTCTGGGCTTGCGCCCACCATTCCATGTACCCAAGGACTGAATTACCTCTGTTAGCCTCTCTGGCAAACTGACGCAACATTATCATTAAACACTGATCATGTGCTAACCTGTTAACAAGCTTTTATAATGGCTCAACATCTGTATTCTGACTTAGATTGATTGCTGTGATGCGCTGATGATGACAGCTTGTTCACACCTGCAGTGGGATGGTCTGTAGTTACTGTCCTTTATTCCTATAATCAACACATGCTCATGGGCACGTCTTCGCTCCACAACAAGGTAACAAAAGCATGTAATTGCCAAAGTTTGTTCACAGGTGTTTGTATTTATCAGTATACTGTCTGAAATTTCTCCCCAGAGATCAAGCAGAGGCTCTGGGCAGATCGTAGTAACAGGCTAGTTTATTTCCAAGAGATTTTTAATGAAACATCTTAAAAGACTTTTGACTTCTTTTTTTCTCTCTTCACTGAATGCTTTTTGGTTTTGTAACTCTGCTCCATGAACCAGATGCCAGCTCTTATTATAATTGTAAATGAGAGGAGAATTCCTCCTGTTTAAAACATTGCAGTGAAGATTTCCAAAGCAGATTGATCTCCAGAGGAAAAAGATTATGATTGCATATTCGTATGCCCGTACTTAATGAGGTGACACTGACAGCTACCATGTGGCTGAATGGAACAGGGCTCCTATTCTTTTTTATTTTAAGGACATTTTGCATTTAGACAGCTTCATGGCTGTCATTTTTCCCTTATTATTTTGAACCCCCCCCCCCCCCAAAAAAAAACCCAAGACCTGGTAACTTGGATCATTTGAACGCCAATACATTCATGTTATTATGTGTCAAGTCAACCCAAGACCACCATACCACCCTGATCAAGTACTAAGTGCACCTTTGTAATTGTTCTATGTAATTACAGCGTTCATAACCTCTTGTTTAAATACTGTTTATTCACTCCCTTTCTGAGCTTACATAGGCACAATATGTAGGATATTTAGAGTGCTATGGGACTTTAAACCTAAAAGCAAAACATTGAATCTAAGAGGGTGAGGACATGCAAGACGGATGGTCTGTTCTTTCAGTTTCAAAGTGCTGCAATCTGCTTTCCTGTTTAGAGTGTCTCCACTGCTCTCGTTAAACTTTTAACATAATTTACGGTGCAGATGTAAGGAGCTGTGGTGCTGGTCACAGGTGTGAACGTCAGAAGCTGAACAGATGTCAAATGTGGAATGTGGTAAAGGAATATTTAACCTTTAGAACTAAGTACATTTTTGTCCGATTTTTTCAACCATTGTAATAGTACATATCAGTAAATCTTAATTAATGATTTTTTTAAAGATGCAAACAATAGATTTAAACAGTCACTAACAACCCCAGCAGGGGTGAGTTAGCCCTAATCTGCACCCCACCTCAAGCAGCATCAGTCAGCGGGTCTGCTGGGAGTTGTCAGTAAGAATTTACTGCTGAGTATTAGCACAGTACTTATGTTTTACTGCTTCAGTGGCTCGCCCCCTAACACCTTCATGTCTCTCTCAGTCACTCGCTCTTATGTTGCCCTGTTCTTATAAACTGTGACATGGGGATGTCACCTAGTTCAGCTATGATCTATCTATACCTCCCCTTTGTGCTTTAAAATGAACACATTGACCTCTCCACCCATGCCACCCAATATATAAATCACACACAGCCAAGTATAACCATGGAAATACACATTAACCTTTAATGTCTGTTTTTCGTAGTGCCAATGATTCTAGTGTTCTCATTTGCTCAAACCCTCTGGTTTCTCGAACACCAAACCTGTTTATGGTTCAGCAAAAATGGCCTATATGATGTGTTTTATGCACTTTAGCAGTGCATCTTTTTAAATAGCACCAAATATGTGTTCTCTAATATAGAATTGCAGAATTCGACCTTGATTTGTTGAAGCAAAAAAGTAGATTTTCCATGGTTTACTATAAATTTACTTTTCTTTTTTTTTCTTCTTTTTTAGAAAACTAAAGACACTAAAGAGCAATATGGGCATCTGTAAGGATCAAAAGTTTTGCACATTATACACCCCCCATTATTACTCCAAGGAACTTAAATGCACTAAAGAGCAAATAATTTCCTTTGATATTTTCTGAAATGTACAGTTTTTTTCTTTTATTACCTTCTGGGAGTGGAATATTTTCCAAGCAGATAAACTGTTGACACTGTCTTGACAATTCTCGAATTGTCCCAAACATCCCACCCCCAGTGTTTGGTTGTCCGTGCTTACCTGATCCCGGTCTGAAGCTGTTGTCTTTTTGCGGCACTCTGGAAGAAGTTTGCTGCATGCAGGGTCTGCTCCTCAGCCTCTCAGCCTCTTGGCGGAGCTCTTCCATCCTCTGCTGCAGGTCCTGAACTTGTCTGTCTAGTCTCTGCTTTTCTCTCTTGAGCTGCGCGTTCTCCCCCATCACCTGGTTGTAAGAGTCCTGAAGGCCAGATCCCGAGCTCTGTGATGATTCTGGCATGGCTTCCCCTCCTACGAGACGAGCAACCAGTGCCTCTAGCAGCCCCAGGCGAGACATCAGAGCCTCCATCTCAGGAGTTGAACCTGGTGATGGACAGCTGGCCTCAGTAGGGCTGTCCACCATAAAGGTGTACTGACAGCGACCATTCCCAGCATTTGCTCGACGAAGGTTAGCACTGCTCTGAACCTGGGATCCCATCAGCAGGGAAGAAATCCACAACACTGCTAAAAACCACATGTTGGGGTGGACCACAGATAACTTCTTTCTACTGTTGCCTGAAGCTCCTTGTCCAAGGTTTAATGCAGTGGTGACTTGCAGCTCACTTGTCCTTCCTGGTCCTCTTCGGCTCTAGCACTAATCTATTCCTTCCCTTTCACCTTCCAAGTGTAACCGGAGCCCCGTACTTCTCTGGCGTTCCACTAATGACCTCTCACCTGAGTCTTTTCAATCTTTCGCTCCTACTGACTTTCTCTCGCTCAAGCTAAACGTTGCCTTCGAGGGGCTGGTTGGAGCTTCTTGCTTTGATTGGTCGTTGATCCTTCAGTTTGTCTCCTCAGGTTTGGAGGCAGTTTCTCTGAGTCCAAGCACATTACACTGGGACTTATTTATACAGTCAGATAGGAAAGGGAGGGAGGGAAGGAGTGGGACGGAAGAAAAGGAGGGATGCTATGTGCTTGAGGGATTGCCCCAACAAAAAGATCCTTCCAAAGATTATTCTTTGTTGCCTCCTCTTGGAGGGCATATCGGAGCATGTGTGGGATGGATTTGTGTGCTGTTTGTTTGGCTTTGTGTTCAGGAATGCTGGGCCGGCCACAGGTGAACACAGGGGTTGTTTATCTCTAACTGTTATTTAATGGTTTGTTTTTTTACCGCAGGGTATTGAAGTAATTACTTGCGTAACAGGTCTAATAAACGATCTGGGTATGTGTTCTTTCTGAAGGTAACTACTAGGGAGTGCATACCCCTCTGCTGTCTAATTTAGTAGTGCTATCAGTTGCTGCTGGTGATTCACAGCCAGGGGATCTCGCTGTAGGGAGCACAAGACTTGCTGCTCTGAGGGGGTAAATCTGGATAGAGTTACCCCTACCGGACAGCCCATGGGGGAGGTCCGCAGTGTTAGTTACATCTGCAGATTAGCTAAAGGGCCCAGAACGTGACGCAAAGCAGAGGTCAGTATGTTGGAGATGTAAAGGTGACCTGAATAACAGCTTCAGTCTCCAGAATCAACATTCCCCATTGCCCATTTCTCGTTCTGTCACCAACATTCACAATTGAGTGTTTTGCTTTCTCGTGTATTTGTGACATCCTACTGTCATTTCCACTTTCCTCCACTCTGGATTTCATCACATTCTCCCAATGTTTTTTTTTTCCTTGTAGTTTATCTTAGTTTACTCCGTAAACTTCGCCTCAAAATACATTCACACTCTTTTATCTGTAATGTAGCCCAGATGGCTCAGGACTGGAATCTCTCTTCATGGTGGCCATTAGATTTTTTTGTTTGTGTTTCAATGAGATAACTGCACTCATTGCCCACCTAAGTCTTCTGTGAAATTTAGTAATGTCATGACATTTAACAAATACCTCAATGGTACACAGTCTTTCTTGCTTTGGACAATACTGGTAAACATTCTTACCTAACAATTTCTCAGACCTTCCATTGCCATCTTGTTTTTGTGTATGTGTGCGGATAAATAGTTCCACACTGCATAGGTTTTTATTTAATTCAATTTGTATTTAAAAATAAGAGAGTTTTAATCAAATAAATCTTTTTGACCAAAAACATGTTTGTAATGTTATATAATGATCACAAAAAGCATGTCTTTTTAATTAAATCTTGTGTTTGTGTAGTTTGTAGTGAAAAATCTCAATCAAAATCTTTTTCAATGACTTTATTTTTTCTGATGATGTAATGTGTGACTACCTGTCAATCACACACGATTTACCAACAGCAAACAGTCCAATCCATTTCTGATGGACAAAATCAAATCCCACCAACTTATTTCTTGTTTGAAAAGCTGTTTCAGAGCATATGGAAGATTGTTGCATCTTCTGTTTAATGTAGACTTTACTAGAGAGTTCCTTCCATTCACTTCCACTAAACTTTCTCATCCAAAAATGACCAAATAGTTTGTCTTTATTTTGAATCTCATTTAATAATTAGTCAAACTTATGTATGTTTTCATTGAAAATATAACTGAAGTCTTAAAAATGAATGCCACTTTATAAATGTATGACATCAATTCATCATTAATGTGTCCAAATATCGTTTTACCTCTTAATTCTGGCGTCAGCACCTTTGCTTTCAACTTTCTGGCTGTTCTTCAAGACCTCCACCGAAGCTCTCAACTCTTACCTTGTAGGCTTCATTTCGCCTGTTACCACAGCAGATTTATGAAAGATTGAAGAAACATGCCATTTACCAGAAACTCTGAGTACTCTTGTAGAAACGGAGCATTTACAAGACCGTGCTTGAAATTTTTATTCATCTAAATCCTGTGTCAAACACTCATTCAGTGGCAGTACCTGGAGACCGCTGACAATGAGTGATGATGTAGAATCAAAGCTTGCATTCCTTCAGTCAGAGCAATTCTTTAACATTCTCTCAGTCTTTCCAGCCCATTTATGCGATCTCATTCATTTCTCCGTACAGGCATGATACCCATCTCAAAGGACACATAACTTTTTCTTTAAATATTGAACAGATTTCCAGCAAGTTCAGAACTGCAGATTTGCAACAGACTCTTTAAAGCTTTAACGTCTACATGTACACTTACTTACAAAGGTCTTGTCACCTATCCAAGTTTTAGAAACAACAAATAATAACTTGACTTCTAGTTGGTCATTTGGTATCAGAAGTGGCTGATATGAAAAGTAAAGGCCTCTAGATTACGCTTATTTTACCAAAATAAAATATGATCAAGCCTTGTTTTTTAATTATTTAGGAGGCTGAAGTATGAGATTCTGCTGAAGAATTTGCCCTCTTCTGTGGTTTTTAAAGTAATGGGCAGCACAAATGTCTTCATACCTCAGGCTGTTGATGTTACCATCCACTCTTCACATCTCTCGCATACCCCCATACTGAATGTAACACCGAACCATGATTTTTCCTTTACCAAACTTGACTGATTTCCGTGAGAATCTTGAGTCCATGCGAGTTCCAATAGGTCTTCTGCAGTATTTGTGATGATTTGGATAAAGTTTAACAGATGATTTAGCATTTACCTACTGACACTTTTTTTAAATGATCAACTAGAAATATTGGTTGCTCTTTTAACTGGGATCAATGACAAGACTTTTGTCAGGTAGAGTATACATACATTTATTTAAATGCATGTTGACAACATTCAGGAAATTACTTTTTGAAAGGACTATTTTATGATTGAAGTCAAAACCATGATTGAGTTTTACCATGTTTGAATTGGCTTTTGTCCAGGTCTGGCAACCCAGGTTAAAAAAAATGTAAAAAAAAATACGCTTGCGCTTAAATACACCTTATTTAATCATACTTAGTACACTTTTTAGTAATGTACTAAAAGTGCTCTATTTTTAACGCACTAATTTTTTACTTAATGTACTTTTTAGTTATAACTGCTAATACACTTGAAACATAATTTTAAACATTTATAAATATATTTAAGAATAGTTTAAAGTATAATAGTAATATATTAGGAGAATATATAAAACGTGTAAAAAGGTGTGCTAAAAGTCACTTTAGGTATACTTTTCAGTACTGGATTAAAAGTGCTCTATTTTCAATGCACTAATTTTGCACTTAATGTACTAAAAATAGCATTAAGCATATGTTGAGATGAACTTAAAGGGCCATGAAACCCCCTCGTTTCAGCAGGGTGTTTTCACACCTCTACTTTGGAAAAAGTCAGAAAAGTGGGCGTGTCCAGCTCTGTTTAGGGGGGAGTGTCGGAGGAAGAAAAGAGGCTTGGTGTGGGAGTGTCTATTTGGGCACGCTGAATTTCAGAGTCAAAACACAACCACAGCGGACAAAGTGACTGTGTTTACATGGACATTTGTAGTCGAATTATTTGCCAAATTATAAAATGGTGGACTTTAACTGCAGTTTGGCTCTTTCATTCAGGGAATTCATTCATGCCCCTCGCGACAAACGTGATATTTGATTCGAGGCGCTGCTCTAAGCGTGTATTTTTCATGCAATGTTTAATACCGCACGGCGAATGAGAGAAAAAAAAACTGCGCATTTCCCGGAAACTTAGATGCACACGGCAGGTAGTGTCAGAAAGCCACGTGTGTTATTCCGGTCACGAGGTTATTATTTGGTTGTAGTGCTAACTTGTTTACACTCGGTGCAATAGTTTGTTTGATACGAATAAAATACGAACTGAATAAACAAAGAGCACTGGTCGCTCACTTACCAAATCTGTAGAGACAGGACGATCCACAGCAACTAGAGCCGCGTCTTTATTTAGAGGAGACTACAAGCGAATCCGGATATTAGCGTTTGCAGATGAGAACAGCTCTCAGGTAAACAATGTTCCTCCTTAGACACGTAAGTTATTGTTGTCGCGCGTCGCGTACACTGTTAATCCACACGTGACTCCAGCTGCGCTCTTACAGAGAGAAAATGAAAACAAAACTTAACTGCAGCAAACTATAAAAGCAACACTTCACGCTTGTTTTGCCAACACAACGTGGCGTCTCTGCCGTCTAAACACTATGACAGTAATGAATATTAATGAAGTTGCACAATAGAGCGCGCTGATTGGTTTGAACCAAGCCTTACTCATGCATTAATGCAGCACACTGTAAGACGTAATAAGACACACTCTGGCACAAACGTCCAGTCTGCACGCTGGAATACATTGCTTTTATGTCATGACCGTGACGCAGCTTCAAAAATTCGTTTCAAACCGGAAGTATGAATTTGCTTGAAATAACGCAAAAACAACCAATTTACACTTTTTAGTGAAATATCGGTGTCCTAATAGTGTTTTTAGCAGTGTGGGACACATATATGACTGTCAATAGCTCAAAAAATGTGTTTTGGTGTTTCGTGACCCTTTAATACCATCTAAGTGCACTCAACTGTGCTATTTTGAGACGCACTAAAATGAAACTAAAATGTGCTTTTAACATACTATATCTCTATTTTTAAAAAGTGTATTTAGTTATAACTACTAATACAGTTGATCCCTAATTTTAAACATTTATAAATATGTTTTAAAGTAGTTTAAAGTATAATAGTAATATATTAAAAGAATATATAAAATGTGAAAGAATTGTGCTAAAAGTCACTTAAAGTATATTTTTTCAGTACTGGACTAAAAGTGCTCTATTTTCAATGCACTAATTTTGTACTTAATGTACTAAAAATAGCATTAAGTATATTTAAGATCAACTTAATACCATCTAAGTGCACTCAATTGTGCACTTTATAGGTAGTACACTTTATTTCCAACACTAAAAATTCTATTTAAATATATTTTTAAAAAGTTCAATTTAATTTATACTTACAATAACTGTAAAAGTGTACTAACTTTGAACAATTTTTATAGCATTGAAATGA